TAACCCTGATGAGCCCATCCTGGCTTTTTATATAATCTGAGCGCTGAAGAAAAGGGTGGATATCTGAGATAGATATATCGGCCCACAAAGATTACATGCGTAGCAGTAGCCTTTCTACTATAATACTATAATACTAATAACCAATTGATCATTCAATCTTAAATTAAGACAAAGATTTGTACAATTCTTCTTCCATTGGGTAAAAAATAGGAAATAAACTCCATGGTAGCGAGCAGCTCCGTAGGCCTGATCCCCAGGGCCAAGACCCCCCCGGCCAGTTAAACCTCGGGTCACTCCCTTTTTGGTTTCTACAACTCAACAACTCCTGGCTACTCACTGCTTGGGATTCCATCATGAAACAATGAACACTAATGGAAGAAAGAGAAATAATGTGGCACTCGATTCTCACCCTAGAGTAAGACGGGGGAGAAAAACAACTTCTTGTTCCCAATGTCACGCCAGGAAGCAGAAATGTAACAGAGAACTGCCTTGTTCTCGTTGTATCCAGCGTGGGGTTCCCCAACTATGTCAATGGCCGGAAAAAGAGAAGGGCCATGCGATGCCACCAGAAAGAGTGAGCACAGCAGGTACTGGATATCCCCGCTTTCAAAAGTCAGATCACGGCTAACAGTGAAGTTCTATAGCAGACACCCAGGGCACAGAGCTGGGGCAGTTGTATATTGCCCGGGGGGCACCTAGCTTCTTCGGTAATTCATACTTTGGCCACCAGGTGGCGGCCCGCATGATTCAGGAGTCAGCTCCCGATTTGCCCCCTATGAGCTTGCTGTCTAGCAAGGATTCTTTGCAATCATTTCGAAATGATTCTGGGCCATTTTCGCAAGTTTGGGATTTACTGGGTCTCTTACCGCGGAACAAAGTGACCGTTGATCGGTTAATCGAGAAATTCCTGACCGAGATTAACTGGGCTATCGATACGGTTCACCCCGAAACCTTCAGATCTCAATTTGCAGAGTTCTGGGGCCGAAAATTTGGATTCGACGAAATTGCCGGAGTAGATCTCCGCTGGCTTGCTCTCTTGTTTATTATTCTCGCTTTTAGCGTGTTATTGGACAGTCCTACGACCTCTTCGCCCGAAAAGCGGAAAGAAAGCGAAGAGGCTTCTCTTCGTTTCTACTGGGCTGCCAGGAGAGCGATTGTTATATCACCCTCTTTTCACGGCGAGAGCCTAGATCTTGTCAGAGCAGGTTTGATGGTTACGCGATATCTGTTATACACCAGACAAGCCGCGGAGAGCTGGCTCACCATCAGCTTCGCCATGCGCATGGCCCAAGCACAAGGCATGCATATAGATGGAGAAAAATGGGGGTTGTCGAGAAAAGCCACTGAAACCAGAAGACGCATCTGGAGCAATCTGTACTTGCTTGACAAGACTATTGCCCTTGCTCTCGGCAGACCGTACGCGATATCGGATCATATGTGTCTTATCAAAGCACCTGAAAATGTGTGGCTGGATGGATTGACTGACGAAGAGTCCTCTATTGCTACAGCCCGTGCATTGAGCTATCCCACAATGAGCACAGTCACACTCCTCGGCAGTGGCCTAGGTAAAATTGCAGGTGAAATCCAAGACCGGTGCTTTGGTTTATATCCTGCATCGTACGATATGGTGATCGAGATGGACAACAAGCTTGTTGCATGGAAAGAGCAACTCCCATCCTACTTTGCCGTGGAAGGCCCCGACCTCTCACTGGATGAGTCGCATACATTTTTACCTTGGCATCGCCTCTACCTGCATTCTGCTTTCCACTTTGCCAGAATCACTCTGCACCGACCTTATCTTCTGCGCGAGTCCATAACCAATCGCTTCAGCTTTAGTCACGAGGCATGCATCTCCTCGGCATCTTCCGATCTGAAAATTCGATTGCAGTCCTTGAACTATGGAACATCAGAAAATATGAGATGGACATTAGGCACCCACAATATGTTCAACAGTGCCTTTATCCTTGGTATTATCGCCGTACGGCGACCCATTGCCCCTCAAACTGCGGCAATCTTGAATGACCTTGAGGAATATTGCGAAAGGCTACGGAAGGATGTTTGGCTAAATGAGTTTGGTCTTGCGGAGGTTAAAGTGGTAGAGTTATGTATAATCCGCACCACCGGACTTGCCCAAGGCACCTACCAGCCAGGTGAGCAGGCCCCAATGAGTCCACCAGAAGTATTGCCAGACTTTATGGCACAGGAGCGTGAAAGGAATCCAATTATGCCGACGCCTATGAACATTGAGTCTATTGCAGCGGGCGCCTCGCCTGATATGATGTGGCCTGCAGTCTGGGAAGATCAGAACTTCGCATTTCCACAGGCTGCTGATCTTGAAACCTGGGAGCAAATGATCTCGGAAATTGCATATCACACTTAGAATATGAGACTTCTTGGGTTCATTCTTGTTAGTTGTACACGCATCTGTCGAGCTATATCTTTAGTCTCTATTATTGGTGTGACCTCTGGGTAATTATATGATTTGATCTCAACATTTGGTATGAAATATATTCACAGGATGTATCGGAAGTCCGGATGGAAATCTCCGCCTTTCTTTTCGTATGATCCCGAGCTGACAATGCGCTCTCTCTCCTCCGGTGATAGTTGGTCTCGCTTTGTATTGTGATATCGGAGCAATGTCCACATCGCAGCATTACCAAAGAATGCAAGACAGATAGCAGCAAGAGAAACAGAGTGACCAACCACATATCGTCCATTTACTTGTGACTTGTAGATTTGACCAGCCTTGAATCATATTAGCATGAGATCAATCCGAACAAAACGAGCATATCAATATGAAATTCCACTCACAATCAAACCAGCGCAATTTCCAATAGTCTGCTGTAAGCCTACTCCCATGGCACGCTTGTAATAGCCAGAATGGCTGTTGGCGTTCCAACTTACCCCAAGTCCAACCACAGCATATATTCTTTCAGAAAGGTTAGCAATTGCTCAACAAATACTCCAAGCAAGGGAAAAGACATACCCAGTAACACACACGTACGTCGCAAAATACAATGGACCTCGCGCATGGACATCCACTCCCAGCAGCATGGCATAGCCAACAGCTGTCACCAGACACAGGGGAACCATGAAGACAGCTCGCATGCGCACTCGGTCGGAGAAATTTGCAACGACCAGGTAAAAGGCGGAGGCCCAAATATAAACGGGAACAGTGAGCAGTTGAGTCTTGACCGAATCAAACCCAAAGCCTCGGATAATAGTAGGTAAGAAGGTACTAAACCCAAAGGAACAAATGTTGACACAAATTTGGTTGAACGAGGTGAGCCAGCTCTTGGGGTCTCTCAGTGTTTTCCACACTTCCTTGATATCAAACTCTTCAGTATCGGCGTAGCGTGCTGACTGTTGCATGCGTAGGCGCATCAGCTCTTTATCTTCCTCATTCAAGAAGTAGGCAGTTTCGTAGTCATTTGGAAGGAGGAAGAACGTGGCAATACCAATGACCGCGCTCATGATGCCCTCCACGATGAAAAGCCATCTCCAACCTTCTAGACCGGCCACACCATCCAGGCGAATCAGTCCGAAGGCGAGTCTAAAGCTTGTGTCAGCTATCGTTCGGAATTGTTTGACAGAATAGGGAGAGTTGCACATACAAACCACCAAAGCCTCCACTCAGAGCGGCAGACACAAACAGATACGAAATTCTCTGTGCTTGTTCCTCGCGTTTGTAAAAGGTTGTCAAGAGGACAGTCAAACATCTGCACAATAATTAGTTACTATCCAAGGGTTTATCGAGGCAGCTGATAGTCTCACGGAAATAGGCCACTCTCGAAGACACCGAGAAATAGTCTGGTGGTATAAAGCCCGGCAACATTCTTGATAAATCCAGCACCCAATATGGAGGCACTAAAGCCAAGGATCAATGCAGAAATGAGTCGGTTAGGGCGTAATTTCTTGAGGAGCATAGAGAACGGGATCTCAAAGAAGACGTAGGTTGCGTAAAACAAAGACACGGCATCTGGTTGGGTATTGTTAGGCATAGCTTCGAACATTGAACCGGGCTAATCTCACTTCCTAGTTCATTTCCAACCAGACCAATATCTTCCTGTAAGAGCGAAGTCAGTAACCCACTGTTTCGTAAAACAAAGATTCGAATTTACCGGCATTCCGGCGACAGCTGCATTTCTAACCAGGAGTTAGCGTTCGGAACTCTTACTGTATGGGTAATGATCTCACCCCAAGTTGCTCCGATCAAGATATGCAACTAAGAAAATGAGCATCACCAAAGGACAAATGCAGAGATCAAGCTTCCATAGTAGCTTTTTCTCTCGGATTGGGTCAACTAAAAAGTTGCCCATCTGTACATCTTGATCCGAGGATAAGTCGGCTTGTTTAATATCTGTCTCCTTATTCATTTTGAATGAGTATGTGGATTTATCGTAACAAGTGGAATCCATCGCTATAAGTTCTTATATATCCATGGAAGTGATACAGTCGTTATCAATGATCGGGAAATTCTTCGGTTTATTCGCCGGCTGAAGGTGGAAGGATTTCCCGAATATTTTGGTGGCGGCCATGACCAATTAAATTCTGTGTCATGGCAAGAGATAAGCTCTAGGGCTGGGGATAAGCCGGGGCGAGTGACCAAGGTTTTTCGTGCATTAGTTCGTCTATAGTGTACCGTGGGTGACTTTAAGCTTAAAAGCCTACCATAATCACAATTATATCTCAACCCTCGAGGCTATCGCTATTTCCTTTGCCTCCGATGTTTCCATCCCTTTTCACATTGCCAGCAACATGTACATCAGCTGATTCACTATCGCTATCTTTTACCAGAAGCGACTTCCCCGCGTTTTATCGTCTTGGCATCGGCAAATATGAGCCGTGAACCTTAAGCTATCTTATCTATCTGCGAATTTCCCGATGAATTTCCCGACACAGGTTATTCGGTATGAGGAACTGCCCATTGATAAGGAGGCAACGAACACTCCCACCTTTTTATCATTCGAAAATCATTCATGTCACCACTATCTCTCAAAATGGGAATTTCGAATGTGAATGGAACGGAGTTCAAGGATACCCTGGCAGCAAGACATCCAGTAGGCACTTCACCAAGACCGTGCTGAGGTAATCTAATGTACCACAGGTTTGGAAGCGATGGGTTCGCTTCAGAGCAGAAGATGGTAGAATATATGGCGGTGAGCCGGTGAATTTGGATATTGATGGTATGGCATACTCAAGCTCACCAAAGTTCAATCTATACTGACAGACTCATAGTGGGCCAGGCCATAGAAAAGAATATCGAAGTCTCGGTCAAAGTTGTGGCTGGTAACTCGGCATTGGATTATGATGCTTTATTTACGGGTGAAATCAGAACCATACATGAACTGCTATCCCCAGTTTCACAAATCGAAGCTGGGACTGTTCGATGCATCGGCCTAAACTACAAGGAGCACGCAGCCGAGATGAAGCTGACTCTTCCAAACACACCAACGTTAGTATATCTGCTTTCGCTTTTCTAAACACTCGCTGATACCGCGCAGTGTATTTTTAAAGGCTAGCACTTGCATTGCATCTGCATCCGAACCCATTATACTTCCCTCCAACGTGGATTATGATGAAGCAGATTATGAAGTTGAGTTGGCCATAGTCATCGGTAGACAATGCAAGAATGTTTCGGTGGCCGAAGCAGCCGACTACGTTCTGGGCTATGCAGTCGCCAATGACGTGACGGCCCGCAAACATCAAGAGAAGACATCACAGTGGTCTTATGCAAAGGGAATGGTATGTTGAGATAGCCAATGCTCAAGATGAACTTCATGACTAACCTCTACCAGGATGGGTTTTGCCCACTCGGTCCATGTATCGTGTCTACAGAACAAATCCCCAATCCTGCAGTTTTGAATTTAAAGACCCGTCTCAATGGAAAGATCATGCAGAGCGGAGCCGCCGATGACATGATATTCAGCATACCAGAAATTGTGTCCTATCTTTCCCAGGTACAAAATAACCCTAGGTCTTTCAAGCAAATGGAACTAATGCTAAGTGTCAGGGCCACACATTACTACCCGGGACCGTCATCATCACCGGAACGCCTTGTGGTATTGGTATCTCACAGAGCCCACCACAGTTCCTCCAGCCTGGAGATGAGCTGCGGATAAGCATAAGTCATGGGCTAGGCACTCAAATATGCCCGATTGTGAGGGATTGAGCCTTACACAATCTTATGTACTTGATCTAGTAATGGTAGAATACAAACTGTTATGCCAAGTAATTTGAACTGGATGTGGTTTCTTTTGTCTTGTAAATGACCTGTTGCCTGTTCTAGTTGGTCTTGCCCCTCCAGGTTTGGCGCCCCAATACGCCGTCACGTAACCCGTGGACCTCCCCGGGGCCCCGCCCTTTGGCGAAAGCCTCGGCGTTAACGTCCTATCACCGAACCCCAAATCTACAACGTCATTGAACAACACATAGACGGAGTTTAAGAATGCTAGAGCTCCGATCGCAGTCCCTTTGGAAAATCTCTATTAGATATCTCTCCTTTTTCAACCTCATAAGCAAATTTCAAAGGAACAGTGGATCTCAGTACAAATCACTTTCTTCCCCCCGGCAAACCAGCATCATTCTCAACTCCTGTCAAAATGGGGGACCTCGCAAGCCAGTTCGCCCTTCCTCTCCAAAGCAAGCTAGCGATTGTAACGGGCTCATCACGTGGTATTGGTGCCGGCATTGCATGGGAGCTTGCCCGTCGTGGTGCGAATGTAAGGATGAATTTGCTATAATGCACAGCCATTCTTTGTTTGATATCTTTGGAAAACGAGAACTTGAAGGCTAACGAGGGCCAGGTGTGTATAACCTATGTCTCAGACAACAGCAAATTGCTTGTCGAAGAGCTTAGGGCTAAGATCAGCCAACTCCCCCACAAACCGATCGCATGGACCTGCCAGGCCGACCTATCAACAACCACGGGCGCCCAAGAGGTCATTTCGCAGCTCAAGGCTTACATTGGCAACGATAACTTTCAAATCCACATTTTGGTAAATAATGCCGCCACCGAGATGGTGAACAATATGCAGAGCGTAACGCTTGAGAATTACAATGAGGTTTTCAACCTTAACGTGCGTGGTCTCATGATCATGACACAGGCTGTGGTTCCGTACCTAGCACCAAAGGGCCGTATTATCAACTTAAGCTCCGTGGGAGCGCGTTCTGGCTTCAAAGGTGTCAGCCTCTACAGCGCTTCCAAGGCCGCCGTCGAAAGCTTCACGCGCACCTGGGCCAGCGAGCTGGGCGGGGATGGCACGACGGTCAATGCTGTGGCACCAGGACCTGTACCTAGCGATATGCTGGACAACATCCCTAAGGAACTTGTCGAAATGCAGAAGACGACGACGCCTATCGAGCAGCGACTTGGCACAACGGAGGAGATTGCGAGAATTGTTGGGTGGTTGGCAGGACCCGATGCCTCATGGGTGTCGGGCCAGGTCATCAGTGCAAGTGGTGGCTGGTCAATGTATTAGGTTATATAGGTAGGATCGAGGTTCGGTCTGCTCTTGCCTTTGGCCATTTAAAATCACATTCTGTAGACTTTACTGTACAGCCACAAGAAAGTTTGCAGATGCAATTTCAAGCTGATATAATCACTACTGGAAAGAAAGTGCAAGAGAATTCACTACCACTAGCATGCTACTGTAGCACACGACCAAGTGTTTCTTGTTGAATTGGAGCTGATTATCCAAGGTTATATGTCAGCCATCAGGTGGTGAATAATAAGGAGATTGTTGGTCATCAGTAGTGTATCCAATCTTACCCTGGCCTGGTGGCATGTTAAGCTATTACTTGTTATATCCCATAGCTCATTTACATTCGATGGGATACATACCTTCATGTGAGAAGCCCACTCAAACCCCGGACCATCATCGCTATGGAAGAGATGCCTGTTCTCTAGGTAAAATGTCACGATCTGGCCAGGGCGCAGGGGTCCTTATGTTTACTGCAATCTTCTCCCGAGAAGCTAAAATGGCGATGATACTACCATTGGTGGCATCAAGAACAAGTTCCTTTTCAGCCTGTTTTATCGGGGCAAGTGGGATGCAATTGAGGCTTTTGCTTAACTATAGAAAAACGGCGCTAGTGCGTGCATATCATCCGGATTTATCAGTCGGACAACTCTGGGAATTTTAAAGGTTTTAAACTAGCGCCTAATGTATGCCCGGCAGGTCAGGTGGTCATAAAGTGACATCTATGGGCGAGTGATCTATAAAATTAGAGCATTTCCGAAAGCAGGCTTCATCAAATGGATTAAAATCGAAAGCGTTGATAAACAGACAGAGACCTTGGCTAGAGAGGCAGGATCCCGAATGCAACGCCGAGCCTATCCCATAATTGTTTCCAAATTTAAATCCAGCATAACATCCAGCCAGAACTCTTCTAAACCAGAGTCGGCACGATCCCAAGTCTCATGTACAACGTTATAGATGCGTTGCATTGGCAGCTTTGGTAAGATTAAGATAAGTTCAGACAACCGCATTTTAACCTTTCGTCTGGCCTGGGCGATTTCAACATCCAGGGTATTCAGGCTAGGAATCGCATTTTCTGTGGCGCCAAGCATAGACCCAGACGAGAAAACAAGATCGCTAGAGATGCAAGCCAGAACTATAGGCTGCATAACCTTCGTTCCAGATGTTGAAGGAAGCTGCTCCAAGAGGGATACGATGTGAAGTGCCAGGGTGTGTCGTGCGTCTTCCACCGAGCACAATGACCATTCGGCGGCTATTGGGAACAACAACAAGAAGAGGGCCGGGATAGGCCTTTCGCTATCCGCGGTTTCATTACTTCGTAGTCGTTCTTCAAGGATGTCTGGGAAGACATGGTAAATTTGCAACAGTGCCGTACAGCGATATGCTTCGGCCAACGTAAGAAAATGCGACGGTGGCGTGTTTGTGTCACCAATATCGACAGGCCCACAATAGAATGAGAAGCCCGTAAAGAGAATTGTGTCCTCAAGATGCTCAGCTTTCTGTCTGAGATCGAGTCCTTCACCCATGGAGCTCAAGTCAATTAACGTGGGATCCAGAGCTGCTGGCATTCGGCGGTGGGAGGTTCTTGCGGCTCGAATTACTCTTGCAGTTTGATAGAAGAGACCCAATGAGTATCTGAGAGACCCTGTCCACGGATGTGGTAGGACCTGTCCATCGACAAGATAGACTGAAAGATCTGTGTCGATGTTTTCTATAGAGCTTTCCAGGTCCAGAATAGGCAACTCCTCTGCCACAAAGGCAGCTAATAAGTTCCACCAGAGGAGACACTGTTTAAAAAGTGGATGTTGTTTTGCAAGGGCAGAGTTTGCATCCTTACACTGGCGTTCTTGTCTCAGAAGATGGTCTTGGGCCGCTCTCAGATATGGAAGCCCCAGATCGGAAGCATCGTGCCACCCAGTGGTGGATCCAATCATGAGCAGTGCCAGAAAGTATTCATCGTCTTTTGTTTCAGTGGAACCGTTTTGGACACTGTTATTCAGGCACGCGATTGCTTGCTGCTGTGTCTGTATTCCGATGGCTCGCATGGTTGGAAAATCGTTGGCTAACGATGCAGCTGACATGCTCTGGATAGCAAAGTAGATCGCAGCATTTCGACTCCAGAGTCGGCTAACAATAATTCGGAAAGGATTGAGAGGACAGTCAAAAGACGACCATTGGTTACAAACTGTATGAAAGTAATATTGCACCAACATCACTGGTAATTGGATGAGAAAGGAGGGAACAGATGTGTTGGCCAGTCGTTGGCGCAGAATCGACAATCCATCGAACTTGGCATCAGGCCTCGTTAAAGCCGTGCCACTAGATCCCGGCTCGGTATAGAACCAGGCATCTGTTGGCTCATCAAAATCCGGCAGCTGATCAAAGAGGTTTGGGGAAGCCGTATACCAGATATCCTGGGTTTCATTCTGGATATTGTCTTGTTCCGCCAGTATTGATTTGTTCACTTCGGGAAATTCAGTTGCGACCGTTTCGGGAGGCTCAATCGGTGGTGCTGATCGATTTGGGACTTCGCTGCCTTTGAAAACATGTCGCCATTGTAAGCTCTGCTTTTGGTAACCGGGGCATATGTGTCCTCGCTTGGTACATTCCTGACAACTTGGCTTTGCCTCATCACATCTGCGCTGAATAAGTATTAATTATTTGGACCTCAAACAAGGCCTCCATAGATGAAGGAGCAACTGTGTATCTTTCACCTCGACTTACTCGCCGCTGCTTGCACCTCTGGCAGCCCCCTCTTGATTTTGGTCGGCACCGGTTGGGATTTTGCCTTTTCTTCTGTGGAGAAGCTAGTCTCTCTGTGTTTTCCATTACACTTAAAGCAAAGATATTGAAGATGTTTCGCTAGGAGAGGAAAAAATGTCTGAGATAGCGGGCCATCGGATGGGAACCCGATCGAATAACTCGAACGCCGGTTTATGAACCGGGATCCGATCACCTGCCGATAAGCAACGCCTCATGTTTGATCATATTCCCCCCGATTGGTTTGAAGGCAGTTGCTGACTGACTCTGTCTCCCCGCACCTTCCTTTCGCGCTAATCCAAAAATGGATCAATATTACGCTTTGAGGCGGGTTTGTTTTCCTAATGAATACTAGCGCATTTTCGTATAAAATGCGCGTGACCAAAGACGTTTCAAGCATTTGCAAGAAATTTCTCATTTGGGAAATCTTGACCTTCAGGCCATCAGCATGTCTGAAGTTGGCCCTGATATCACTAACCTGGGTGGTATCAAGTACAACTTGTACAAGTAATTCTAAGGACATGACTCGGGTATACGGGTATGTGTATGTACGTATGTTTGAGTTGACATTGTATAATTTTTCAAAACTGGGCAGATTCTGACTCAATTCCTGGCTAGGAGCTCTCCAACATTGGAGTATCGCACTTCACTCTTGGTGGAAAAGCAGAATGCCCCATGTTCCAACTATCAGTCAATGGCAGCCGCTTCTGCATTATTTCTCTCCGCACCATGCCTGATTATGATATCATATATGCGGAGAAGTTCGAGTCCTTTTATCTTAGCTTTCTCCGTATTGTGAGGGGAAATTTGAACGAATAACTCCAGCCGGTAAAGCTCATTGATGTTACCATCATGGCCTACCGGGAGTTGGATTTTTGGCAATATTCTTGAATCAATGTCAACTATTGAGCTACGTCGATTGATTACTATTACTTATACATGGCTCTGAGCCAATCAATGCTAATCTATACCCATCTATTTCTTACAATGTGAGTCCTAGGTAGACGGCTCGAGAGGGCAAATCCGGACCGCGGGGATCCACAAGAAGGCCGCATTTGGTATAGTGTAGCCGCCGTGCATTAGAGTTAAGACTCTAACCTATTTCATACTAGCCTAGGTATGTAAACAATCAACCTTGAGACTTCCAATGCGGAGAGGATCATCTATGTTTCAGCTCAGGCGTACTGTCTGTCCAATCTTTCTACTCGTCTTATCTTTATGCCAGATGTGGTTGCCTAGGTCATTGGAATTTCCCGTCAAACGTTATCTCGGCATAAATCCATTTCTCCACTTGGTGGATACTTGTTTGGGAACGTACTTTTGGAGAGATATGGGATAACGGTTTGAGTGAATTTCTTCATCAATGGGCTCAAGCTTTTATGAGTAGTTGCGCACTGGACTCCCCCTAGCCAGAATAGAAGATAAACAGCCCGGATTCCTAATGTTCATTGCGTCAAAATTTTCCTCCATAGGCGTGATTATTCGACTATACTCAGGATTCGACTAGCTGGAACTCAGCCTTTCGACCCATCTTTACTTAATATCTCTTCATCCCAGGCAATCTTTTATTCTCTCGTCACTCGTTCCAATTTTATTAAACCTCTAACATGGCAGACGAAGCCGCCCACCAGCGTCGTTCTTCGAAGACCAAATATTCCGAGCCCCGTCCACCTGAGGACACCCTCAGCATTGAAGAAGGCAAACAAACTTCAGCAAACGGGGTACTGGAAGCTCTGGGTTACGAGCCTGAGCTCGTTCGAAACCGCTCCACGCTTCAGGTAACTTTCATGTCCTTCGTACTCGCAGCGATTCCATACGGGTTGGCTACAACTTTCACCTACCCTCTTATTGGGGGCGGTCCTGTCAATATAATTTGGGGATGGCTTGCCGTCTCTTTGATTACGCTATGTGTGGCTGCCTCACTTGGTGAAATAACCTCGGTCTATCCAACTGCCGGAGGGGTCTACTACTAGACCTTTATGCTATCTCCACCGTCATATCGAAGAATTGCCTCTTGGATTTGCGGATGGTCATATGTTGTTGGAAATATCACTATCACACTTGCAGTCAATCTTGGGAGTACTCTTTTTCTCGTTGCATGTATCAATGTTTTCGAATCTGCTCCAGGAGTGGGAATATTCCAAGCAGAAACATACCAAGTTTTCCTTATCTTTATCGCCGTCACAGTTCTCGCTAACGCGATATCGGCCTTTGGAAATAAATGGCTGCCATTACTTGACGTATGTTTAACAACGCTTGTGACAACCTCACCCTGCTAATACAGAAGCTAGACATTCGCAATATTCTGGACACTTGCAGGGCTGTTGGCTATTGTAATCTGTGTTCTTGCAATTGCAAAAGGGGGTAGACGTGACGCCAAATATGTTTTCACTAGTTTTGAGCCCGTATCTGGTTGGCCAGCAGGCTGGTCCTTCTGCGTCGGACTTTTGCAGGCAGCTTATAGCACTTCCTCCACTGGCATGGTGATCTGGTAGGTAGCTTTTTGATTTCCACCCCAGAGGAACACCTCCCGTTTCATTCCCCGCTATGAAAAGCCTATGACTGACCCGTCAAAGTATGTGTGAAGAAGTCCAGCAACCATCGACACAAGTCCCAAAAGCAATGGTTGGAACGGTCATCCTAAACACCCTGGCCGGGTTTCTCTTCCTTGTTCCATTGGTTTTTGTGCTCCCCGACACAAAGGCTTTAGCGGCTCTTGAGTCTGGTCAACCAATTCCGACTATAATCCAGTCCGCTGTTGGAAGTCCAGTTGGATCATTCCTGCTTCTCCTGCCATTGATCGTACTCTCTCTGTTCTGTGTCATAGGCTGTACTACAGCTGTCTCCCGAAGCACATGGGCGTTTGCTCGTGATGGGGGTATACCAGGCTCAATATGGTGGAAGCAAGTGAACAAAGACGGGGTACCTTTTAATGCTATGATGCTTGGCATGGTTGTTCAAATTTTGCTTGGATTTATTTACTTCGGATCAACTACTGCATTCAATGCTTTCACTGGCGTCGGGGTTATTACCTTGACTGTCAGTTATGCTTGTCCAATCGCTGTGTCTCTTGCTGGAGGTCGAAAACAGATAAAGAACGGCCAATTTGACCTTGGCACACTCGGGCTGGTTTGCAATATTATAGCATTGGGTAAGCATGAACGATCTAGCACAATTCATTGCCATCGCTAATTGCATATTCGTTTTTAGGATGGAGCATTCTCGTCATTCCATTATTTTGCATGCCATCTTCAATTCCTGTGGCTGCAGATACGGTCAATTACGCACCAGTGGTGTTTGTTGCGTTTATACTACTTGCTTCTGGATGGTACTGGGTTTGGGGGTACGAGAAGTATGTTGGGCCGCCAACAGTGGAGGATGAGTTTCGCTCATCAGACTGGCAAAGTTAGGAATTTGGGATAAAAGCTCCAGTATACATTTAAACTCGAATTGAATCTATTTCGCTGCACATTTGAGGCCGAGGGGGCACGGCCCCTCTCGGCGACTTCTCACTTCCCCCACTCAGTGAGATTTGTTCTCCCGTGTAATCCCTCCTAAACAACCTCAAAATCTCCTCGAGCTTTAATCTCATCTACTGAGAATAAAATGCAGGAGCAGAAGTCCCGATCCTGCGCTGAACTGCTAATATTGCAGCGGACCGAAGGGGATACAGGCGATTGGCGACAAACGCGGCGGGCGAATTTCCACCTTGAAGATCCAAACGACCTTTATGATACTATTCTTCCGGCTTGGTCTAAGATTTGTATCATGTATGTGAAGTCACCCAAATCTATAGAAGCACCCTAATGTTACGAGCGTCGCAAATTCTACCGAGATTGAGAGATGTTCACAATGTCGACAAGCCTTCGCCGATGCTTTTTATATGCCTCATTTTTGGTGGTTATATCATTTCCTTCAGGGAAATGGCGGCTTTGGATGTGAAAGAACGCAAAATTCCGGAGTCACCACTGGTTTCAGTAAGTAGGCTAAAGATAAATGGTCAGGCATCACTAATTTTCTAAGATACCTGGTCTAAATTCTCTGTGAAAAAGGTAGAAATTAATACCAAATTCAAATGGTATCAACCAAGTATCTTCACACGATGGCTGCCATCCACTAATCAAACTGTGATACTCGCCTTCGATCTCGACCCGCCCATCAAAGACCGCTTCCTGATAGCAGCCATGAAATCGGATGAGAGTTGGCTCAACGATCCGTTCTGGGTCTATCCATGTTTAGTCGAGCAGATTGCGCTTATCCAGGAGCCCTCTGTATGGGGTATCCGGGACCATGTCCGACTGATGGAGACAGACGGGAAACCAGAAGGCAGACCACAACCTAACTACAGACGACTCCACGACATCGCCCGACATGCAATCCACGTGAACGAGACACTTGATGTTGCCTTGCAAAATTTAGAGCACATCCTAGTGCAGCACGAGAGCTATACGAATTCGAACCCAGATAATGCCTCTCCTGCTTCCGAAGACATCCGTCTTCGTCTACGATCTTGGCAGTCTTTCATTGAGAACTTACGATCTCGCTCCATTTCAAATGAAAAGAGACTGCAAAACGAGATTCAGTTGGCCTTTAATACCGTGGCTCAGCATGATGCCAGTGTGACTCTTGAAATTGGTCGGGCAACCCAATTGGATAGTGCCACGATGAAAACAATCGCCTTTGTTACACTTACGTTCCTCCCTCCTACTTTCATCTGTGCTATCTTCAGCATGTCATTTTTTAATTTTGGCGGGGACAATGGCTGGACTATGTCGAGCAAGTTCTGGATTTATTGGGTCTTCGCTATACCAACCACTGCTTTTACAACTCTAGTGTGGACTTATTGGCCGAATATCCGTCGTATACTGTTCTCCAAAAATGAATAAACTTGGACTTTGTCGGGTCCTTAGAGCTCAAGTAATAGAGAAGCAGACACTTTAATTACGAAGGTAGATTTGCTATGTGATCGAAGAGGGGGCATATTATTTTCCAGATATAGAAAACACCCATATAGCTTACTAGCTATTACTCTCACACATGCCCTACCTGTCCTAGAATAGGATCGATCAAACACAGCGTGGATATTTACGGATCCAATCTGCCTGCGGTGCAGGTGGGCTCAATCCATCACACTTCCCTTTTTCCGTTTGACAGAGCAAACATGTAGATAATAGTACAACCAGTCACTTGATCGGTAGAATTACCTTAACAAAATGGGGAGAAAAGACCCAAATGTACGGAGTAGCCAAGAAAGATATGCACGTTAAGGTTATGTTATCCACGATGTTGCTAATGTTCTCTCACCTGACACTTAATCAGGGTCTGGGCCCCCTGTTTTATGAAAATGCGTGGATAATCCTGTTGACTAAATCACGACAATAGTTCTTGTCCTATCATAATGCTGGAACTAGATTTTGCATCTCCATAATTTTGACCCGCTAGCCTTTAGGAAATAGGAGCCTGTAGCGCTTCCGGCGCCAGCCACAAAGTAGGCAGTCCGTGTCAAAAGCACCCCAAAAGCAATTATATGTCCTTGGGTAGAGTAGACCCCGTATCTTGGGTCAAATGGTCTTCCGAACTTTTGCTCAAGTCTGTGCTTTAGTTCAATAAAAGTATACCTGTGCCTAGAAATAAACCCATTCTTTAAATTAAATTCCGAGTTCCAATCGAAAAACCATTATTTCAGATTCTGTCTCTTGTCAAAAGCAAAATCCACAAGCCAACCAAATATCATGCCCTTTTCGCGTACGTTGTCAGTCGTTGGATGTCACGCCGAAGGTGAAGTCGGCGATGTGATTACTGGTGGAGTACTCGATGTCCCTGGCAGTACAATGTACGAGAAGCTGGTTCACTTTTTGAACGAAAAAGACGACATACGTCAGCTTCTACTCAACGAACCTCGAGGCCGGTGCTCAATGAACACAAATTTGATCCTACCCCCTTGTGATCCCCGAGCCGATGCCGGATTTTTGATCATGGAAAGCGAAGAATACGCACCTATGTCGGGATCGAATACAATCTGCACCGCCACCGTGCTATTGGAGACCGGCATGGTTCCGATGAAAGAGCCCATTACTCAATTGACTCTGGACACCGCTGCCGGTCTGGTCACCGTGAAAGCAGAATGCGAAGCGGGAAAATGCAAGAACGTGGCATTCGATAACGTACCCGCGTTTGTATTTGAACTCGACTATCAAGTCCTGGTTCCCGGCCTTGGGGAGGTCACCGTTGACATTGCCTGGGGAGGCATGATGTACGCGCTTGTGAATGCAGCTTCCGTGGGTCTAAAAGTCGAATCTCAATATAGCACGCAGCTAGTTGAGATTGGCGAGCGTATCAAACGCGCAGTGCAAGCTTCCTATACCCCTGTTCACCCCGAGAACCCCGGAATCAAGGGAGTCAGTATCCTGGAGTTTACGGAGCCTCTCACACAAGAGGACGGTTGCAAAGCGGCTATCAACACTGTTGTGGTCTCACCAGGGCGTTTTGATCGCAGTCCTTGTGGTACTGGCACATGTGCTCGACTTGCTGTTCTGCATGCGAGAGGTCAGCTGGCGGAGGGTGAGATGTTCAAGCACCGCAGTATTATTGGCACCGAATTCACTAGCCATATTCGTGGAACTACACAAGTCGGTGAATATCAGGCTGTTCTACCGACTGTTGCTGGGAGGGCTTGGATAACTAGTTTCAAACAGGTGGTTCTTGATTCAAGCGACCCCTTCCCAAAGGGATTTAGGGTGGGGGATCAGTGGCGAATGGCACCAAATTCGTTATTTTAAGGCCAAGGAAAGAACCAGAATGGCTTGTTGTTGAGCTACGGCCTCCAAGAAAGTCTTCAGCGTCCTTATATACTCCCAACTCAAAGTTGAGCCCAGACACAGAATAATTATTAGAAAGTGCAAAAAAAGATAACTGTCATTAAAGATCATGAGGGTTTGATATATGAATTATCCAGACTGCGCGTTTCGTTCTTCCAACACCGAATTTGAGTACAAATAAACGGACCGTAAATTGACAATTAAAAGGAGCGTGTATGGTTGACAGAGGCATAGTGTTGTTGGCTTAAACCGGCCGTATCAGCCGTCCTCCAACATCTTTCTCGGATTGTTCGCTCAATCAGAGGGTAGTGGGAGTGTAGCTCTTGTCGGGCTTGACGACGTTTCCACCCTCAAGCTGCTCGTCATTGTAGCCTGGCCAGATCATCTGACCGGACTCGTCGTTGCCAACGGACAAGGTAGTGAACCCGTTGGTAGGACCAAACTGGCCGCTCCAGCTTGAGGTGACGGTGTATGTCCCGCATGTACTAGGGCCTCCGTCGGCTTGAGAGGCATCGTTGGCCTCCACGATATAGGTGCAATCGGTAGTGTCTGAACCGGAGTCGATGCCGAAGGTCCAGGTGCATGAGGTGTTTTCGTCGTTGCAGACGCGCTTCATGTCTCGTATAGTCCAATCAGAGCTTGTGATAGGGGCAGCAAAGATGGAGGAGGCAAGGAGGCTGGTCGCGAGAAGAAGCTGAGAGATCTGCATGTTTTCAATTTGGTGGTTTATCGAATTATTAGAGAAGAGACGTTTGTAATAAGAAAGTTCGATATTTGAACTGTCAAAGGCTGTTTGGAAGAGAGTTGTATGGATAGGAATAGAAAGGAAAGCATTAACAGAAGGAATAAAGGTATTTAAGTCTTTTGCCAATGTTCAGCGGTTGATCTCCCATTTCATAGATCATAGGATCTGACACAAGACATCCCACACTTTGAGGTTTTTCGCGGCCACTCCGCCATGATCTCTCAAAATAGACTTCCCAATGCTATGATAGTAGGTGGAACAGTAGAAATGGAACACATACTAAGCACATCTATTAATACTGATAAGGCTGAGCCTCATTTCTTACTCGTGGCAAAGTAAGGCCTCAAGACATGACTCCTATGGTAACTTCAAAAATGAACATTTAGCATATTGTAAACAATCAGATCAATTGGATCCTGGGGGCCTCAAGTTAGGCCACCTATGTACCCACCAAGAGGGCTATTTATAGTAGATATGTTCTTGAAGAAAGAAGCTGAGATCGAGTTCTGACGATCCCAAGCCCACCTCTCCTGGTGGTTTTTGTTATGGAGGATAATTAGTCACCCCAGCTGTCAGGTCGCCCAAATGTACGCGGATGTATGAACTTCGGTTTTATCCACGTGCACAACCCAATGGTGAGACATTCCCAAGAAGGTGAGAGAGAAACATTCTTTGCACTGATGAAAACAAAATAGATCAAAGGTTGCCTGAATCCCTGGATACACGGGCCCAGGGGCCAGGGCCACGGGTCACGGGGCGGGCCCTGCGTCCCGCCTAAGCACCAGCCTTGTGCTCACCTCCAGGGCTGAGCGGCTTTCAGCTGGGCTGAGTAATTTAGGCCTTACCTTTTAGGCATCCACTTCCTCAAAACCTTGGTTTCTGCCGGAGCTGCTCTCGACAACTTCAAGTCAAGCTTTCTCTACTCTTCTGCTCCTCTACTCTGCTATTTGCTAAAACATCTGACTATGGAATCTCAAAAGAAACTCAAAATCGCAAGTCTGGGCAGCTCCTTTGCTGCTGGTCCTGACATTCCACCACAAATCGAACCACATGCCGCGTTGCGATCAGGGCAGAATTACCCCCATCTTCTGGCGCAGCACTTGGATGCAGATCTCACTGATCTGTCTGTTTCTGGTGCAACTTTGCTCAACATAACAGTCGATCCACAGTCTACCAACAATATGACCTTCCCACCGCAAATCTCCGACCTCCCCGAAGACGCTAATATCATCACCGTGACTGCTGGAGGAAATGACATAAACTATATCGGCGGCATGATCGCCGATGCTTGCGAGGCCGAGCTCCAATCATCCGTGTCACTATCACCAAGCGAATTGGCAGAACGATTAGGGGGAGTTCTCGATCAGATACACAAAAAGGCTCCAGGAGCTCGAATCTTCCTTGTTGAATATCTTGCCGTTCTGGGACCTGACACTCAAACTAGTCGGAATATCCCGCTAAGCAAGGAGAAAATTCAACATTACCGTGGTGTTGCGTCTGTTCTACAACATGCATATACTGTCGCTGTGGAGGGTCGAGCTGGTTGGTGTGAGACAGTCCCAATTCACCAACTCAGCCAGGAACATGCACTTGGCAGCAAAGAGCCCTGGGTTGGAGGATTTGTATTGGGGCCGCTTCTCCATCCGAATCTTGATGGGATGAAGGCCGTAGCGGGTATTCTAGTTGAGACCATCCGCAAGAGCACATTATCCAAAGCATTGCTGTGAATACATTCATTATACTAAGCTCTGCGAGGGATTACTGGGCGATTCCGATTTCCCAGCTGGATAGAGTAGGTGTGAGATAATATCAGGGTGACTATTATGTGGAAGGAGGTGGCTCAGTTCTCCTAAACCCGTCAAAACAAAGGCGTTGAATTCGCCAGACCCTGTCATCTCCGCAACATAGAATGCCAGGCTAAGACCTTGGCTGGGCTTAGGTATCCAGCTTTTGCCTCCGCAATCATGACTCACTAGATATATTCGAACTCCTGGGCACTGTGGATAATTGCAGATGGGCCAATCAGAAGCCCACAGTTCGTTACAAAGAGGTCGTGTGTGTGATCTGGGGTAAGCCCCGCATCGGGTGAGACGGGAATGCCGAGAGCTGAGAAAGAAGCCCTCTACTAATGCAAGCCTTCTTATAGACAATAAAACACTATTAACCCTTGCTACTCATTCCGAACCTCATAAAGATCTTTAGATCTTTTAAAAAGAGCAAGAAAGCTTGCAACGCCAGACACACTTAAAGCATCGAATTTTTGCTTACAATCAGGGGTACAAACGTACCATGTACATATTTCGCGATCGTTGGTGAGGGCCATGCATACTTGGCAGTTGCCACCCGTATAAGAGACAGAAACATAACCAATAGGGTGAGGTTTGCCTTGAGCACCGGGCGATCCAGGGAAGTAAGCAACAAGTAGCGCCAACAAACCCAAGCCATCAACGAGGGCGTTGCCCATGCTGTTTTGGGTCATGTCAAGCGCAAATCGATACGATGCTTTCAAATATATTTTTTGGTCAAAATTGTATGCCCTAAATCATGCTGCAGGTTAGGTGCGTTGACCATTATTGGATATAGGAAAGAAAGGCATAATGCATAGTAGTATTATATATAACGTCTCTGCTGTCTATCACTTAAGCCTACATCAAGTACAAAAGCCGCGAGCTGAGTATTCTTGTAAATTAGCAATAGTTGTCATTCTACTCATCCGGAAGCTTTCGTTCCATCTTTGTCGGGCCGAGCACTTCGGGATGTCATATTCCGGCTCCACGATTCGCGTACAGCAAAGGCAAAGACTGTCTCTTCGAACGCATGTGATAAGTTTTCTTTCTAAATTAGAGTATCCTGGATAATCACCTCTCAACTCATATACGGCGTTTGCCTCAGTCCATTCATAGTTTTAGATATATCTTGGTTTTATACCCCGCATTATCCAAACGCCCCTCCTACAGACAAGACCACAACATGGGAAAACGCATCGTGATCACTGGAGGCTCCGGCAAAGCCGGCCAGTACATCATCAGATATCTCCTCCAGCAAGGTCATGACATCCTGAACCTCGACCTCATTCCTCTTCCCGCCGAGCTGGAAGAGCGAGTCCATACCTTACGTGTCGACCTGACAAACACTGGACAGGTATACAGCGCACTGGGGTCTCATTTCCACCTGACCGAGCCATTCCGCGAGCCACTCGGGCTAGTCCCCGATGCAGTCATTCACATGGCCGGGTATTCTCGCAACATGATCGTTCCAGACGAGGAAACCTTCCGCGGCAACACCTCGGCAATGTACAACATAATCGAAGGCGCTTCGCGCCTCGGCATAAAAAAGATCATCATCGCTAGCTCTATCACCGTGTATGGCGTGAGCTATGCAGAGGGAGACGTAGACTATCCCTCCTTCCCAGTCGAGGAAACCGTCGACGCAAACCCGATGGATACATACGCCATCTCGAAGGTGTGCGGCGAGAGCATTGCACGTGGCTTCGCGCGTCGATACGGAAGTGATATCTATATTCTGCGTATTGGGCGCATTGTCGCCCCGGAGGAGTACAAACAATCCATGTTCCGATCATACGTTGAGAATCCCGAGAAATGGGGGCCGCATGGCTGGGCGTACATTGATGCGCGCGATCTCGGGCAGATGTGTGATCTCGCAGTCCAGAAGGACGGCCTTGGGTTTCAGATCTTTAATGCTGTCAATGATGAGATTACGAATTACGAGAACACTGCTGAGTTCCTGGCGCGGGTTTGTCCTAATGTCCCGGTCACGCGAGAATTGGGGGCCAGAGAGGCTCCCATCAGTAATGGGAAAATTAAGGAGCTACTTGGGTTTCAGGAGGAGCATCATTGGATGAAGTATTATGAATGAGTCTGGAGAAATCAAATCTAATTCGTGTTCGTATACGGAGTAACAGTGGACCTTTTTTCTTTCATACAAAATCATCTGGGGGCTAGGGCTAAGTTATTAAGCATGTCACGCGCCCTGAAGTTCCCGATGACATCAGCCAGATCTGGGCTTTGTTGCCGAATGTGGAGTTCCCAGGGCCAACGCTTGGCTAAATCAAGGAGGTGATATTCTCTCCACGTTGCAGTGGGATTCTCTAATCTTTGTCAAGTTCAGTTCAAATAGGTCTAGACTATCCAGACTATTATTCATAACTTGGAACAAAGGATGCAAGGACGCAAGGACGTATAATCCAGCAAACTTTCCATGGGCAGAGGCACCTATCCGCTAATCAACGAGATTTTCTCCGTGGCGCAATGAATGCGGGTTATAACCCTGGCAGTGAGGCTGGAAATTCCCGGTACAGGAAGCCTTGGCTGGCAAACGGGTTGCAATTTCAATGTCCCCCATTTACCCGTAGCTTTTTACCGAGATATTTACAATATCTTTACCCCTGGACCCGAGATGGGAGGTTTTAGACGAGACGTTGAGATAAGTTCACAATCTCATTATTGAGCATGGAGACCCCGAATTGATAGGTAACACAAGATGGATACTTGATACTGATGAGATGCAGAGAGTGAGAAAAAGAGCTCCAATCATATGAAGTCGCGTGGGATTGGGAAGCGAATCCTTTTGCTTTTTTGGATCTCTCACACCGATCATGTTTTAGGGCATTTCCCACTTTGGTTTATTATTATTATTATATTATTATTAGGTTCTCCGTACTCCGTATACTAGTCAAATGAATTCATATCATACGTTCTAAAGGTTACATACGAATAGTCTACTGCAGTCTGGGGTACCCCGATCGCCCCCGCATACAATATACGGGATGCGCCCCAGCTTTCCTTTGCCTCTTTGTCCTTTTTTTTGGATTTTTCCTGTTTCTCTCTTTTCTTTTATTTCTTTTGTACTCCGTACTAGGTCTTTCCCAAGTTCCCCCAGATTTTCCCATATCTCACGCATCCACACTTATCCACACTAAGCGCCATGCCACTATTCCCCTAATACTGACTCAACGCCATGGGCGATTTCACTGCCGCCGGGGATGGCATCAGTGGTCACTACCAGGGAACTTCCCTGGGCATGCAGATCACCATCGCGACCCTTGCTGGTATCACTTGGTACAATGCCTTTGAGCTAATGATCCTCCTCTTCGTTACCTTCGCGAAATACCGAGGACTCTACTTTTGGAGTTTATTTATTTCCTCTTCTGCTGGTCTACTTCCCTACTCGCTGGGATTTTTACTCAAATTCTTCAAAGTCACCGACGACCTTCCATGGCTCCCTGTCACCTTGCTCACAATTGGATGGTGGTCTATGGTCACCGGCCAGTCTGTTGTTCTATACTCGCGCCTACATTTGGTCCTATCAAACCAGCGAGTCCTGCGTCGCGTGTTGATCATGATTGTGATCAACGCAATCATCCTCCATTTGCCAACTACCGTTCTCACTTACGGTACCAACATGGCTGACGACGCCTCCCTGGGCCTGTGGACGAAAGGCTATAATATAATGGAAAAGATTCAAATGACAGGCTTTTGTCTGCAGGAATTCATTATCTCGGGGCTATATATCTGGGAAACAGTACGCATGCTACGCTTAGATCCAGACCGTACCAAGCGCAAGATTCAATACCAACTACTAGTCATCAACTTCATCATCATCATTCTGGATTTGGGCCTGCTCGTCGCCGAGTACTTGGACTTCTATATCATGGAGACAATGCTTAAAGGCGTCGTATACAGCATCAAGCTAAAGCTTGAGTTCGCCGTCCTGGGTAAACTCATTCACTTGGTACACAATCACGTCTGGAAACCCGAATCCTTTTCTGTGCCACGCGACCTCCCCGATTTTGTCGATGCAACCCGTGTGACCTCTGATGTTACCCATGCATCCCCTAGTGTCGTCTACCGCAGGCCTTCCCGGATGGATGCCGACGACATCTCCATCGCCATGTTCGAGCATTTACCGCCCGACCGCATACGGACCAATTCCGATCGCTCCAACTCGTGGAGTAATGAGGCTCGCGCCTATCATGTGGATCACCTCCCGGTCGACTTCACCAATCCTTTCCGTCACTATCCACATCACCAAAGCCGTCGGGGCATGCCCGAGAAACCGGGATGAGAATAGCAGTCACGGCAATATCCCCACGAACTTCTTTTTTCTCTCTTATGAATCACGGCTTATGAGATATGATCATCACCGAGACTCCGATATCCCACTTCATTCTCTGTGAACATTACATTTACCAGTCTCCAAACTGGTCTCTCCGACAACCCTGAGGAAATTCAACTTCCCACAGTCAACCCTCGGGCCTCGCGCCCAGCTCTAGGATTCATCTAGAGTTATTGTGCTGCCAAGCCAGTAACTTCCTTAATGGGGAATCCACAAATGTGCAACCCGCCAAGGTTCATTTACGATAGTGCAATGTAGATGCATGTTCATCTTTGTTTGTATATAGAACGATTCCCAGTAGTTATCTCCTGAGATGTGGTTGTTATTGGATATATTCCATTTATCTCGATTTTACACTCTTCCCTCTTGGAAATATCCAGGCCGTCTCAAGTTCCGTATGATTTCTAGCAAGCCGTACGGTCTTAAGATTCTTTGATTTTTGTGTCGCTCCTCGATCATGTCTTCACTCAAGATGTGGCTTCCATATTGCTCTGGGTCTTCGTGCAAACGAGATACTATTTTGATTTAGGGCGAGCTGTAAGTCAATTTGTCCGGTTGGCTGCATTTGCCGCCTTGTGACGTCTTTTTGATTTATCCTTTTTAGATGTCTTTTTAGATGTCCTTCTTATAGATATTTTGCCCGCCTTCTTTGGCTTTATAGACACACGGCCGAAGAAGGAGAAATACTTAATTTGTGAAATATACATGAATAACCAGGGACCAGAGACAGTTTGATGTACCTATAGATAAGTTCCAAGGCTCAAATGGTTACCTATGCCTTGAGCTTAAATTTCCTTGAAATGCTCCAAGGTTCCAAAGTGAGGTCTTCTTAATTGAGCCTCTCTAACCCCATGGGTCCTACGCCGCTTGATAGCCTCACCCTTCCCAACTCCCAACGTTGTTGGGGTTTCTGTTCTTTGTTGTAAATTAACCCAAGGTTAACTGCGGCTTGTAACTACATACTTGGAAGGCAGTAACTCATTTTTACTCCGAGTAAGGATTACAGCACGCAGCCAAATACATGCACTTAGAAGATGTAGTCAAGGGTATGTTATGTCTCGACCAAGATACAAATCAACAAATGCCCATCGATGGAATGATACACAGCAAAGCACAGCACAATCAAAGAGAGATGAAAAACGAAGCAGCTCGTAAATCGTACATAGAAGAAAGTGCTGGAGACCAGGTTCCTCATGACACCAATACTCAAGACCTCAAAGCTCCCAGGCTCGAACGCTTAATCTCAAATGCTCGAGATCCCTCAATCAACCCATCAGAGAACTTGGTCACAGCTACCCACGCCGGACTGAACTGTCTCACCTCGTCAAGAGCCGGGATGAGGCCGATTCGGTTGTTGTCGCTCCATAGGCAGGTGATACGGCCCGTGATAGAGGACTCGTCAACCTCATTAGTCTCAGGCGAGTCATGCTTTGAGAAATCGACATCAACGGTCCATTTATTGTCCCATGTACGACTCCACAGCTGGATCCGGTTCAGACCATCTGGAGACGGGTTTAAGAAGCGGTGATCCGGAGCGGAGGAGCCAATCACACTGAAGTTCGTGATGTAGTTGCCGTCCATGTTGATACGGCAATTACGTGTGTTTTGGCCTGATACTTCGAATCGGACAGAGGAGCTGTCTGGTTGAGGGTGGGAAATACTGAAGGAAATCCAGTCCGGCGACAGCTCAGAAGCCTCAAGCAGAGAGTCGGCATCCTCGTTGGAGACGGATAGAGAGTCGGCACTGGGGACAACATGCGGTACTGGTGCACTCCAGGAGCATCGCTGGACTTGGTTTTTGCCTCTGAAAATCCAATCACAAGTCTCATTCTGGCCTGCTGCGCTAGGGAGTCCGTAGGTAACATCCTTGGTAAACGGAGGCATGCCAGTCAGTGAAGCAGTAGAGATCCCGTTGTCGAGATCGACCTCTTGCAGGAAGAATAGCTTCAGGCGGTTGGAGTCTGCGAACGGGAAGGCGACAAGGTTGTAGATCATGGTTCCTATGAACACAAAGAGTAGGAAGATAGGTAGGTGGTATGTGTAGCGGTGGATAAATGGCAGTATAGGCGCAAAAAGGAGTGCAGTAAGACTGGCAATGAAGAGATAGACAATCAGCTGGGGGCTACCGTCCTGGCCGGTCTGGCTGAGAGCGCTGGTAATCAGAAGACCCAGCGGTACGATCAGCATAAGAATTACGGGAGCTGTGATGAGCAGCTGCAACAGCCACGTCCATCGCGGCAACACGCCACTCCATCCCTGCTCGTGTGAATACACGTTCGGGTCTTTCTCTTCTTCCTCGTCGTCTAATTCATGAGATGCGCGGTCTACCCCAACGCGGACGTAATTGGCAAAGGTGGGGCGGTGTCGGCCATGCAAGAGCGATGTTGACTCAGTCGGGTCTTCTTCAGCACCATCGTCTTGGTGCTCATCGCTCGATGCAGCAAGGCGGCTTCCCTGGGTACTAGGCCGTCGTGATTCAGCTAGTCTACTGACGTACTCTGACTTCGTTGGCAGAGAGAACAATTCCAAATAGGAGATCCATGTGGCCAAGAAGGTACCGGCAAAGTAGAAGAACATGAAATAGCCACCAGCGAGCCCTTCCTCGTTCTCATAAACGGTGCCAACCACCATGAGAGACCAGGTAAGAACAAACATCCAAGTCCAGGTATAGACTCGATGAAAGGCTGATGGGCGTGCAAAGTCTGCGACGCGAGATACAAACCAAGCCAAGAAGACCCAAGCCGAGATCATCATACTCCATACGGCGTAGGAACTGCTATGGGCAATAAAAGGGTTGACTTTCGTCACCATATAAGCCAGTCCAACAGTCACTGCTGTAGGAATGGAGATCAAGAACGGGAATCTGAAGAAACCACGCAAACCACGCAATGGAATGTTGTCGTCGTTGAGCTCGGAATACGCCGATGAGCGGAAGAGATACATCTTGTCAGCCCTTGTAAGAATAATGCTAGTAACAAGCAATGTCAATGGCGCCACAATCAGCAGAGTGACAGACAACGCAAAGAGCGTGTGCAGACGGAACACGGCAAAAGCACTCCCAAACAGATCGAACCAAACAGCCCGTGTACCTGAGCCACTAGGCACAGTTCCATCGTCGCGTAGATGTCCGTCGAACCGATCAGTGGTGTCAGACACAAGTTCTTCTGTCGTAGCAACCGCAGTAGAGAGCATATGCCAAAGCGAGTCGATACTGGTGTGCCGGGCATCATCCTGATCAGTATGATAACGAGCTCTAGGTTCAAAGAAAGCGACATCCAGACCGCGCAGGCCCAGGATACCGTCCAGAATAACATAATCCGTCTGGCTGCTGACAAAGCCCTTTTCGAATCCATTGGCACTCAACACCGAGCCGAATGGGTGCTGTGATTTCGCATACGCCTGGGTAACCTCCGTGTCCGAGCTGCGGAATAATGTAGCACGACCTCCAGCACCCGCACCCTCCAGGTTCAGGAATGTGTGCGCAAAGCGTGCCATCGGATGCTGACTGTACGCGCGTGCGCCGTTAAGATAGTCCTCCTCGCCATTGTTGAAAAGAACCACCAACCCGCGGCGCGGCGCATGGCCCGGCGTCAGGAAATATTTCACCAGCTGCAGACACGTCACTACACCAACTCCATCGTCTGTTGCTCCGTACCCGGTTGAAACGCTGTCATAGTGTGCGTTGACAAGTACTCCTCCCTTGCCAATGGGCATCCGGCCGGGAGTCTCCCACCAATTCTGTTTGCTATCTTCCGAGCCGCGAATGTAGACGAGGATATTGGTGCCTTCAAAGTAAACGCCGACACTTTTATCAATAAATGTCAGGTTAGACACCAGGTCGTCGAAAACAAAAACATCAGGCTTCTCCTCCTTCGCGTCGCGGTATTCCTCGGTGGATGGGGCGGACTGCCTGATCGCGTCGATGCGCTCGAGCAACCACGAGCGGACCTCATCATTCTGGTGCGAATTGTAAGGGTGGAAGCCTTTTGTCAGGCTTTGGAGATCTTGCCATGCCTCTGTGAGGTTGAGGCCGTTGGGGGTTGCCTGGGGCGCGGATGGGACATTGAGGTGGATTATTAGCAATGGGATAATCAAGGCAAGGTACACGGCCGTGGTGATTATTGTTACCGGCCACGGCGTGAATGCCAGAGGGTTTCTGGCCTTGTAGGTAGCCATACCCTATGCTGTTCAAGCTGAGAGAGAATGGATGGAGTGGAGGGTGAAGTTGGAGTCGAATTAAGGCAAATGCGGGGGTAGCTGGTGGTACCGTCATTACGGTACATAATTGTTACATACATTTATGTACATATGCATGTGCGCTACACAAGTCCTACTACACCAAAAAAAAAAGGAGAATTGAGTGAAAGAAATGTGAATTGCTTAAATTCTATGCGATTACACATTGACAAAAAAATAATCCAAGTCCGTAACCGCTAGCGTACTAATGCATTTCCCACAATAACACAGAATGAAGAATGATCTTTGCTCATATGGGTAGAAATATGTCTGCCTGTTTGATCCAGCTACGGATCGTGAATAAAGAAAACAGGGGATTGAATAAAAGGAAGAAATTCGAGGGCCTAGGCTTATTTTCGACTGCAAAGAAAGGGGGTATCGTATCAAGTATTCAAAGGCCCAACGTCGATATAATCATCGTCTCCGTCGTTGATGACAGTTGCGTTCATCAGCCCAGCCATCTGGCCTTCATCTTCGTCCAGTTCTTCGTCGTCATCGTACATCGTAGCTTCGGCTTCTTCATGGAATTGTGGTTCACTTCGGTTCAAGTGGTCCCGAAGTCGATTGACACCATCACCGCTGAACACACAGAAGACGTCCCGTTGTTGTTGCGTGAACTCTGGGGGCGCTTCTCGGCAGAATGCAGTGAGGTTTTCTCGCAGGAACTCTTGTACGCCAGTCAAACTCAAATGAGTCAGGCGTGGGCAGCTATTTAGCAAAGCATGAATGCCCTAAGCCGTAATGTCAGTATTGCATATCGTGTACACCAGGACTTTTGACCAAGACTCACCTTCATTCTCAACTGAACGCAATAGCTCAGGTGCACACGCTCTAGACTGCTGACGGAAGGATGATGGCCCATTTTGGGCCGTGCCAAAGCTAATATACTCTGGTCGGTGATAGCCTGACATTTGACGAGCCCGATTCTTCGAAGCTTCGGCAAGGTTGCCAATTGCTGTACACTACGGTCTGTTAGGAGGTTGCAACAAGCCAGGTCGATGTACCGAATGCGGTTGCAGGACTTGACCAGGTTTATCACGGCCGAGTCCGAAATGTTCGAACAGTGCCCCAGGTGCACATAGTGGAGATTCTTTCCCAACCTGCAAATAGCCATCACAGATCGATCTGTGATAAATCGGCATTTGGCAAGTACCAGATTCCGCAAACGAGGAGCTGCACGCACGATTCGCTCCACCGAGTCGTCCCTGACGTTCTCGCATGCGGTGAGATCCAGGATACGAAGGCTGTCAAATGTCATTTGAGGAGGTAACGACAGGAACGCATTGTCGTCAACTTCAGTACAGTGCGCAAGCCTCAGTTCTCGGAGATGCCGCAGTGTCGTGAGCAACGGAGTCACTGATATGCTAGTGACAAGTTTGCAGTCATGCAAGTCGATTTCCAGTATAGATGGGCAGTTCTCGGCAAAGGACTGAATTGCCCGGTCTGAGACATTAGAAACTCCATTGAGTTTCAACTACGAAAAAAATTAGCGCTTGAGGTCCATCCAAAATTCCACATATAATCTACATACCCTTTTGATTTGACGGCACTTCTGTGATACAATGAGCAAAGCGTCGTCGGTGACTTTTGAACATCCTGTGATGTTAAGGCCTTGCAGACGAGGACAGTCTCTAGACACCGTAGCGAGGGTGTGGTCTGTAAGGTGTCGCAATTCTGAAACATCCAGCGCCTGCAAATGCCGGTTCCCCTCCACCAAGTCCGACACGCCCTTATCCGTCAAGTTCTTGCAGCTTGTCAACGTCAACCGCTCAATCCGCTTGCACTGGTTGAAAGAGAGAATGGTTCCATCGCTGACATCATCTGACAGAGCAGATAGATTCAATCTCTTGATAAGGTCTGCGTAGTTGAAAAGACTGTCCGGTTTCCCCAACGATGTAGTCACGCTTCTCACGTTGGCCCAGGTGTTGCAACTCGGCCGATGCCACAGTATCCCTACGGAGTTCGCAGCCCATCCTCGACACACCAGCATGGAATTCAGCATATCTGAGGGCGCAACCAATTTCGAGAAGATCGCGATCAGAATCTCGGGTGGGAGGCGGCCGATCGGCGGCAGTGGCTCGGATAGTTCACTTGACAGTCGAGAATCGCGGAAATTGGCCACACCAATGGAGGATTGCGAGTCGTTGGCCTGGGCCATGAAGAAATCGGTGTCATCATCGGCGGCACGTTCGGGTGACGTCGATCCAGAGGTTTCGGAAGGGGCTGCACTTGAGCATCGACCGGCTTCTCGTAGCCGATGCATCCTGTTCGGGGTGGATTCGCTCTTCGAAGTTCGCTTCAATATATTTTTCGGGTGTCGGTATGGTTGAAATCTCATAACTTCAGGTAACTCTGCATGGGCGGTGCATGTGAGACTGGAACAGGCAAGTCCGGTCCACAGATGCAGCCAGTCTTTGATCAACCAACAGTCCTGAGACCTTTTTTTGTCTGAAGACTGGTAGATGAATGTAATTTTCGGGAAATATCTGCAGCAAGGTGGGTTCACGAGGGATGTAAGCGTGGTTTCGCGGCGCGTATTTGGATGGCAAGGGAGAGGTGGACAAGGGCAGATCGTTCAAAATGAAGTTGAACCAATCTAGATCATGACCCCAAGCACCCCTTGGGTCAGATGCAAATGCGTAACCAGAAAATCAATGCAAGTAAATGTGAAGGGATAAAAGCGGCAATGGAGGGGGGATGAGGCAATGGGGCCGGGTTTCACAGTGCTGCGGAGTCAGTGCCAAGCACGGCTTATCGTTTTGATAAGATGGGAGATGGGTCTGCAGATGGTATAGCACCTTTATGGAATTTGAATGTAAACTCTTTCTATAAAGGAAAATAAGAATTAGAGTGGCTTACTGGACTAGATGAAGACAAGAAGTAGTCAAAGTCGTTTGATGTGATCTTGTGCTCGATCTACAATCGATTACTCGATGTGGGAATACTGAACATCTGACCTCATTGGAATGTAGGGAAGCCCTGCTTTCTTCCAGAATCTCTTCCACATGTATTCAAAGATCTAATTCTAGTTAGATACATAACTATCTCAACCAATTCAATTGTCTAGGCTTTTCTCGGATCCTTGACCCAGCCACGCAAGATGTTCTTCTGGATTTTGCCAGTGCTGGTCTTGGGTAGTTCAGTAACCACTTCCACTTCTCGAGGAATCATAAACTTGCTGATCCCGCTACTATTTCGAGCCCAGTCAATCAAGTCTGAGCCTTTTAGACTTTTCCCCTCCTTCACTGTAACAAAGGCTTTTGGTCGTTCGCCCCAATGGGAGTCAGGAACCGAAACAACACCAGCCTCCAAAATGTCAGGATGCATGACTAGCATGGACTCAAGGGCAACGGAGGAGATATTTTCACCGCCTAATCATCGTTAGCAATCCATTTTCTTGGTAATTGAGCCGCTCACCACACATACCACTGATGATAATATCCTTCGCGCGATCAAGAATCTGAATCGTACCATCGGGATGCCAGACAGCCAAGTCTCCGGAGTGCAAAACACCTCCTGCAAATAGTTTTCGAGTTGCCTCGGGGTCCTTGTAGTATCCTCGGGCACAAATATTTCCAACAAAAACAACCTCGCCAATCTCCTGGCCATCCTTCCGGACATCAGCGATGGTACCTTCAGACACCTCGGTCTTGATGACCCGAGCTGGGAGACTTGTAATAAAGCCGTGGCCTTGGCGGGCCATCCTCTGGTATTTCTCCTTGAGAGGAAGCGCGTCCCATTCTGGCAAATAGTAGCCCTTGGTGATCGGGCCGTATGTCTCCGTCATTCCATAGGTGTGTACAGGATGCAAGTTTAGGTCAGTCATTTGCTCGAAGAGAAGGGGGGTTGGCGGGCTTGCTGCCACCGTGACGCGGACAGGCTTGGGCAGTCTCTCTGCCTCTTTCGCGTTGCAGAGCAAAGTGTTTACAGTCGGTGCAGCATTGAAATGGGTGATGTGCTCCTCTTTTAGCAACCTCCAGATTTCGGGGTAGTCTATCTTGCGTAGACAATAATGGGTTCCGCGAACGGCTGTGACTGCCCATGGAAATGTCCAGCCTATATTTATAAATACATATGTTAGTTCTGCGGGTCGATTCCAGATAACTCAAGTGAATAATATGCACTAACCCATAGCGTGAAACATGGGTAGCGTCCATAGATAACGGGCACGTCCGCGGTGGTAGTTCAGACCAGCTTCAATGACGTTTCCCAATGTTGCCAGGTAGCAGCCCCGATGACTGTACTCAACGCCCTTGGGACGGGCTGTAGTCCCACTGGTATATGCCAACGCAAGTGTGGACTCTTCATCAGCAGCATGACTCTCGAGTCCTTCCCAACCCTGAGAACCTGTGTCGATGTCGTGCCGGAGGCCCTCCAAAACAGCCTCATCGAAGGGACCTGTCAGCTCACCCTCCGTTGCATCAGTGTCAGTATCTACGATAATAGGAATGTGGGGGTGTTTGGATCGATAGTTCTCCAGAAGTGGAACATATTCCTCGTCGACGATGATAACTTCTACACCACCATGATCAAGAATATAAGCAATGTCTTCTTGCTTCAGACGATAGTTAACAGCTGCAAATATATTAGTTCAATTGATATCTCTCTTCAAAAGACAATGAGTTTACCAATGTTGACAGCGCCAGCTGCGGCAATTCCGAAAATCGACTCAAGGAATGCTGGGGTATTCGGACAGAGTATTCCCACTCTGTTGAACCCATGTTTCTTGAGGTAGTAAGCCATACCCCTCGCTCGATCTGCGGTCTCGCTGTAGCTCCTGCGAAGGACCTTGTTGTTGGCGGTTACATGGTAGATCGCCTCAGCCTGTGTAATTATTAGTTAGATCATTGAATTACTACCTAGGTACCACTTGCAATGAGCTTACATTGGGTTCAATGGCAGCAGCACGAGGAAGAAAGAAAGTCGGGGATAGCGTATGGGTATTAACACGGTGTTCAAACGGCGGCGTTGAACCTGTGAAATGACCAAGCAGGCCCGACAGCCGAGACTTTGAACTAGACATACTACTAGCATAGATTGCACAAAAAGGTGTGGTATCAGAAGAGGTATGTCAATGAAGAGGAAGGAAGAGGAACGAAGAGGAAATTATTGCATTATGTAGAAAGATTGTAGGGAAATGAAATACTCCAAGTTGGAGAAAATGCGGGGATACTGGCGGTTAACCTTGGCTATGAAAATCACAAGCGGGGAGACGGTTCGGGTATCAGTTCTGGGGTATCCGGACTAAAGGATTTGAATATGACCTCAATTTTCAGGAATGCCTTGATTTACGTTGTACCATCGCTTCAATCGATCATCGTGGATTTGATCTGTTGTGGTTGTGTGGGGACAAAACCGGTGGGTACTGAGTCACCCCAGAATCATCCAATTTAGACGGAATTTGAGTGGATGGCGTCAAGTCATGAACGTATCTACATTTCACAGGTACTGGTTACTTATTATGGATATACTCAGGGGAGTGTGGGGATACATTTAGGCAAGATATCCCATATGGTTGGCCGTACGTCAAAAAGGGCTACCAAGTTTAAAAAAAAAAGGTATAGGTCAAAGTATTTTTTGATCATAAGAATCATGTTGAACTCTTGAAAATTGTTTCTTTGGATTAAACCGCCACGGCGCGAGTCAACGGCCAGCTATTTTGAACCTTTAATCCCAATCGACTCCGTTTTTTCGACTTTTGAAAATTCCGAAGACCCCAGTCCCCGAGGCGTCATGTGCGTCACAGACAGTGGTATTCATGAGTAAGGGAACCGGGCCGCAGACAAAGGTCGGTCGGCTTGCCGTTCAAATTCGCTGAAAGAAAACCGTCCACGATTCCATCCCAGAACCATCGCTCGACACAACAACCAGCCGCGCTAAAGGTATCTAGTAGCCATACTGAGCAAGCTGGGTCTTGGTCTTGCTGTCCACGTTCGCTCCCTGCTCGGCCTTGGCAAGGACACGGCGAGCGGCCTTCTTGCGCTCGTAGTAAGCCTTGCTCTTGACCTTTCTGCGCTCCTCGAGTCTGTAAAATTGTTAGGATTTGTCGATTGACTCAATCAACCACACTGGGATGATAAGTTAGAGATTTAACATACCTGGAAACAACATCCTGGTACTTCCAGCCAACCTCGTGGCTGAGACGGCCAACGGTGCAGTACTTGCGGCCGGGGCGGAGACGCAGGACACGGAGAGCCTGGGGAACAACGACACGCTTCTTCTTGTCGTAGGGAGGGGGAACACCCTCGAAGACCTTAAGGCGCTCCAGAGCGGCGGCACCACGGGCGGTCTTGTGGGGCATCATACCGCGGATGGCCTTGTAGAGGATACGGGAAGGAGCGCGGAAGTGGAAGGGACCACCACGGGTGGGGTTGAAACGAGTCATCTTGCGAAGGTAGGCGTGGTACTTGACTGTACGGCGGAATTTCGAGTCAGCTTTCTGATACCCAAATTGTGGTGCATTTCCTCCAGAAGTTGGCCAAACTGCCATAAACAGAACTGCCAGTAGTTTCGATTTGCGGGCGTTGTCGGTCGTTTCCTTCCTCCGCAATGATTCACAGTCCCCAATATCACACAGAACGCATAGGAAATATATTCGAGAGGGGGTTGAACGTACGCTTCGCGCGGAAGAACTCGCCGGAGATGTTGAGGGCCTCACATCTCACAACGACGATCTTCTGACCGTTGAGCAGCTGCTTGGCGACAGTGCTGGCCAGACGACCGAGGAGGTGTCCTTTGCCGTCGATGACGACCTATTTCCAAACAATTTAAGTTAGCGACAAATTCGACATGCACATTTTGGAGGCGAGAGTGGCGGCACTCAAGTCGTTGGGTATAAACGCACCACTGATTCGAAGGAGGACATCCTGGTGATCTAATGTCCCGTGGGATGGATGTTGTCGGCGGTTGTTGTCGTGGGTGTCAAGTCGACGCACACAACGAAGTCGGATGGCTCGATGAGAATGGGCTAAGCGAGGGTCCGCTCACTTTGTGTTAATGGCGAGGGTCGCAGCCCTAAGCCTGACCAATCATGGGTCACAAAAGTCACGTGTGTTGTCCTTCCCAGATCCGCTCAGTATCGTATTACGTAATACTTTTATTTCTCACTGTGCGCCATGATGGTTCTCTGTTCTGTGTGCCGTTAGGGCATCGGCTTAGGGCTGATATACCCTGTTCTAGAAGGTCATTGTAAGATCGACTGATTATCTTGAAGTTGCGAGGAACGGGGAATTGGGAGCCTTTGATACTTATAATTCCAATATTCGGTCCAAATTCTGTACATTATACTGACATATACAACTACTAGTACAGATGCTCTTTCACTTCCACGTAAACCTCTCTCTTGTTGTAGAGAAGTCTGTCTTATCGTCTTCTTCGATACCAGATCTATGATCTAGCCAACTTCAGGTGGAAACATTGGGTCCGATGACTAATATATCCAAGAACCCGTCCACGCCGAGGCCATTGTTTTTTTCCCCAAAGGAACCTCCGTCTCGCATGAATAACCAAAGCCATTGTGACTTTCCACTAAGCCTCATCTCCCACTCATCCTATTCGTCTGCGATTCCACCGTGCACCAACAATCCACTTGATTTCTCTTTCATAATACACCTTTAGGCAAGGGTCTCTTCATACTCGGATCATGCAACGAAAGACGCGTTTCGTCTGCATCTCTGATACACACGGATATACGCCCTCCGAAGCGGGTTTCAAAATACCAGCAGGGGATGTCCTGATTCACGCCGGCGATTTGACAAACAATGGAAGCCTAAAAGAGCTCCGTAGAACAATGGATTGGATCTGCAAGGCCGACTTTGAAATCAAAATCATAGTTGGTGGTCAGTCCTTCAACTTGTTGTTCACACGCCCGATTCACACTTGATTTATCCCGGGCATATAATGGAGGTTATATCTTCGCTGCTCGCCAAATACACCATTTAATTTGCAGGAAAAGGTCGATACAAAGGCCCTAACCTTTTGAATAGGCAACCACGATATCACCTTGGACCAAGCATTCTACAGGGAGCATGGACAAAACTTTCACGGTCAGCACCTCGAAAATCCACATCACTGCCTAAAGCTCATCACGGAGTCGCCTTCGGTCGTTCTACTTCGCCATGAGCCCGCCCTGATTCGTTTGACACGGGTGGACGGACCAAACACAGTATTTAAAATATTTGGGTCCCCATACTCGCAATCCCAAGGAAAGTGGGCATTCGGATACGAATCAAGTGATGCTGCTGCGCTGTGGGACCAGATACCAATCGACACGGACATTGTCGTCACACATACGCCACCACGATCTCACTGCGACCAGAAACCGAACGGAATGTTCGCTGGATGTGCTGCGCTCCGTACTGCACTGAGCCTCGTTAGGCCACACTTAGCTGTTTGTGGCCATGTGCATGAAGGACGAGGGTACGAACGGGTTCGCTGGCGAGGCAAGCTTACAAACACAGAGACGGAAATAAAAACACAGCCAGAATCTGATTCAGTTGACTATGTCACTCGAGGCATTCTGCCACCCGTGGGTAGCAAGAAACAGAGCCTAGTCGATTTGACTGGCAAACGGGATAAACGACTAGACAACGAGGGATTTTCGCACCCTGGGCAAAGACTGCATGATCTCGCAAAGACTCAACAGATATCATCAGCCTCGCCAGGGCCAGAGTCATCTGCTGGGGTTCTTAAAAAGGCAAGTCCACAAAACTTGCGCAGTGCTCACCCGTCCCTGGGTGCGGGTAGCCCTGGCTCCGGTGGCCGTGGTTCTGATTACGCCTTGCAAATACTAAGAAAGGAAACCTGCATTGTCAATGCCGCTGTTTTTTCCACTAGCTGGCCGCATAAGGGGGGCAAACGGTTCAATTCGCCGGTTGTGGTTGATCTTGAACTTCCCGTGTGGCAGGACAACCACGCGGTTGCGAACGGGTGAATATGTTTGCCCATGGAATCAAGCAACTTTTGGAAATTGCATTTTATTCGGCCCCATCGATAAGTAACGGCAATCACCCCTTTACTTTGGCTGTGCATGGTGGCTTGACGCCAGATTCTACCTTCTCCCTGGGACGTACTGTGACCTTGTGGGCTTTGGCCCTGTTGACTTCGGTGGTTGGGCGCCTTGGTGCTTCATGATTTTTAACATTGGTCGGCTAGTGACTTGATGCACGACCCTAATGCTGTCAGACTGTCTATGCTTACATCATTTCTTAAACTGTGCGCCGCATTGGCCTCGGGTGTGGTAGGTGAACCCGTCAGACTGCCAATGCAACTCTGTCAATGCAACTCGAGCATAAGCTCCATGCTCTGTAATGTAGGGATACTTGGAACAGATTCTAATATCGTTCAGATTAATAGAAAGAGAAAAAAAAGAAATTCCCACGATTCGCTCTCCTCTTCTCAAACTGCACAAACACCGAATTACCCCTCTTGTCTCATGTATACCCCGCATGCAATGTACAAACCCATCTGACCGATCGCAATCACATCAAGCCACACGCGCCTGTGATATCACAACTCGATTTTTGATTATCATCACCGTAAGTTCCTAGGCAGTACGGTGTACACAAGTCATCTGCAACGCGGATCTCCCCAAAACTCAAAACTTCCCTAAATGCAGCGCTTCGAAACGACCTGTTAGTGGCCAAAGTCTGGCCCGCTAAGAGCACAAAAACTTGAAACAATCAATGAATGGCTCCTCCCGCTCTCTCTTTGGTACCCGATCTGACCATGCACAGCTGATTATCTATTAATCATGGGAGGTTGTAAGTTTGTGTTTGTGTTCGGTTCTTCAGCAGGGATTTGGGATTAGAGCACACTCTCGCACACCATCCTCGTGGGAAACACATGCTTCTCGCAAGGGTTGCTGCTTAGTCTGGCGCACTCCTTTCTAGAAGGCGTTTAGTGGCTGGACTGAGTGGTCTGGCCACACTACTCTGTACTCCGTACAACATAAGTACTCTGTAATAGTAGAGATTATTATTGCATAAGAGGGTAATACTAGGCATCATTATTGCAGGCAACCTACATTGCATCTGCATTCCTGTTTCCCGGGTAGCGAACCTACATCCGTTTCGAGCCAGCCACGATATATGTAGTGCATTTTAGTACGTACTAGTAGTTTACGTACATATATCGTTATTTGTAACTTGCTTACCTGGTTATTTGGCCTGGTCCAACTCTTCGGTGTTACTATTATTCCAACTATACTCAAAACATCTAAAACATAGACTTTTTCCCAACATCCAATCCTGAATCCACCGACCCTGGCCCTAGTGGGGTTGCGTGACTATCAGGGAAGAGGGGTATCTGTAGATCACGGTTTAAGCGCATAAGGTTACAACCCTGTGTTTCAGAGGGAGGCTTTGTGTGACCTCAGGAGCACTGCTGATGGGATCGGAGGATTATGGATTCGGCTGGTGCAGCCGGGTTGGAAAGTGCGCAAGTCAGTGGTCTGCCTGTGCTATCATTGCCTGGAGATAAATCGACTCCAGACCGAGGGAAAAGTATACTACAATCATTATCACTATCACACGAGAAACTGTCAAGTGACAAAGTCAGGGAGAGAAACAAGTTTAGGGCTATAGAGGTACAAGATTTGAGGCGGAGATTTGAATGGATCGTAGGCCATCCTCGCCTTGAGAGATGGGACACCTTAACACTAAATAGAATAGACAGATATATGATATTATTAGTAAGATCGAGAATATTTAGGCAATAGCAATAGTAATACAGAGTAGTAAGATAATAATGTGGTAATGCTGACACAGCGTTAACTCACCCGGCATTTGCAACTTCTCCAATAAACTTGTTATGATCGGGGCTGGCACACGCATCAGCTCCGTTCAGCATCGGTCTGGATAATTCCTGCGCCGCGCGGACCGCAGTACCGGGTCCAGATGACTTGGAACCAATGGATAGGCCGGACCGTCCGAGACAGAAAGAGTACGGAGTACAACGTAGTTTCATCATGATAGTCTACTACAATTGTCTCATAGTCTACAAAGGACAGATTAATGGTTGGAAGATACGTAGTCTCAGGTGGGGGTGTTTAGCAAAGACACGTTGTATAATGGGGCCGGTGTGGGACAAGTGCCAGCTGTGCCAGCTGTTTTAGCTTGGGAGATTATTGGGTGCGAATCAATGCCTGAACTATCCAAGGTACTTCGTGTTCCGTGGGATCTAGAGATTCTCAAAACATACTCCTCCGTAGTAGAGAGCTGCATTCGTTTTGAATTAAGGATGAGAATCAAATATTGGACTGTTGAAACAATATTGAAACATGATAATCTACAACATACTAACTATATATAGTAATATGCACATTCTTCAGAGAAGGAAATTTAAGGCCCACGGAACCTTTCGGGAAGATGGGGGCCATTACCATGGGACAAGTCAGGCACTGATTTTCTTTACTTCAAAGGTTCGTATAATGTATAGAGTATGTATGTATACAACGTATACGGAGTATCAAACACCCAATTAAAGGTTCCAGGTTAAACAAGCGAGTTGGCTGGTTGGGGTGTGTGCCTTGAACAAGGCGAAAAATACAAAATACAAAAGAAATAATAAAGCGAAACAAAGCGAAAGTACTCCGTAGTGAGGCGAGCGAACCTAAAATGGCCAAAAACCCGCAGGCACTAGCGACTATAGGAAAGTTGGGGATATGCAGGAGAGACTGGATTGAGAAGAGTAAGGAAAGATTAGCGTCATGACGATTCCAAGAGAGGGGGGGCGACCCGATCCCTTTGGAATGGAGGGATCATGGTCCTCGTGTTAATTGATCGCCCCACCGCAAATAGGCCAAATGTTCAGGCGAGGCTTGATTGGCAGGAATTTCAACAAATCGGATGAAGTGCTCAGACCAATAATGACCGGTGAAAGTCAGAGTTCTGGGGAATAGAAAGATTTTAATGATTATGAGAGGGGACAGGATATTAGGTTGGGCATCTGGCTTTGAAAGTCTTTGAACGTCTTGATAAGATCTATCTTTTTTTTACTTCTATGTTCTATGTTGTATGTGACTCTTTATGTCTCAATATTACAGATAACATACAACATACAACATACAACATACCAAATTCCAGACCTTCTATTTGTGGCGCAGTCATTTGTTCGCCCCCTGGCATATTATTCGGTTGGCTCGGGAGTCTGAGAATAGACGGCAACTCTGACAGCTGATTCATTCATTATTCATTGTCACATCTGAGTCTTTTTGGAGGGTTTTTTTAGTCTGTCAAATTTTCACGGCAAATCGGCCATATTGTTGACTATTCCCTTTACTTCTTCCTGCATTGCAAATCATCTCCAGTTCATTCTGGATCGGTGTGGAATCTTTGCTACGTCAACGTCAGGTTGTTGACATTCCATATCTCCACCGCCTCTTTACCCCCTCTCACTTTTATCTTCTTCCATCCCATTCAATTCAGGGCATGCAAACAAACAATTGCCTACAATGTCCTCACCACCAGATATAGACCCATATGCAGTGCTTGGTGTTTCCAAGGAGGCCACTATCCCTGAAATCAGGGCCGCCCACCGAAAGCGGGTTCTCAAGTGCCATCCAGACAAGGTTCAAGATGAGTCGCAGCGGATTGCTGCCCAAGATGAATTCCAGAAAGTCCAACAAGCCTATGAACTGCTCTCAGATGATGTCCAACGGACTAAACATGACCAAAAAGTCAAGATAGCCGAGTTGAAGCGTGAATTGCTAGAACGGAGACGAACAGACTCCACGTACAACTCTTCGCGGGGGAGTGGATCCGGCACTCGCGAATTCCGCAATGGCCACGTCGTGGAGGAGAGAGTCCCGATGGAAGTCTTCTTTGAGGAGACAATGCGATTCACGGACGAACCACGATCCATGTCGTCTCGCAAATGTGAAGAGTTTGGCGTGCGCTCAAAGGTGAAACCGACAGAAGAGAAGAAGAAGGTTCGAACACCGACGAGCATGTTTCACCAAGCAAAGGAAATGCGGGATACGGCCAAGGCGACACATTCCGACCGTGCGAAGACGCGTGCTCAGGAGCGACGACGACAGACCGAGGCAAAGTCCGAGGTAAAGAACGGTTTCTTTGAATCCGACGAGGAGGCATCCGATTACAGTGCTCCTCGCTACGTTCACACGAAGCGAACTTCAACAACGCCCCGCCGAGAGCAAGATTCACGATCGCGACCATCGGACTCCTCTCGTCGCCGTGAACGCGCCTACGACGAGGATGGCGATGTGTCTGATCATTGGCAATCCAAGATGGCTAGTCAGTCCTGCAATGCAGAGGATTATATCGCACGCAAAGCCCGGAGTTCCAAGTCCCCACGACGGTACCATGGTCACGACCTGGCAGAACCGGAGTCGTCCAGTTCGCGATCCGCGGGACGGTCTACTCGCACCCGCCGTCGTTCTTCGTCGCGCGACAATTCCTACGAGCATCTTGAGTCGCCCCGAAGCTACGAGGTCAAGCCACCCAAGATGCAACCCTCCGCTACCTCCCCGAGTATCAAGACGTCTCTCCGTCCCTCGTTCCTCAACACCCGCTCCGCGACCACCTCTGGCTTCACCCGCCCGAAGCGGGAGACTCGCGACCCCCTACTATACGAAATGGCCCACGAGCCACTGCCATCGCGAACTTCGAGAATGCGCGATCGCAACGACTCGGGTTACTCCAGTCCCAGCACCCCTGAAATTCTCCAGAGGGGCAGTTCTCCCAAGACGTCAACCCGTTACAAGATCGTCAAGGAACCAGATCACGTTGTCGTAGAACCGAAGTCATCAAAGTACCGCTCGGCGAGATCCCCCGACCGGGATCGCATACCCTCTACACGACAGACACCCAAGCGAAGCAGCACCTATCAGACCTACGCCACGGAAGACTCGCCCCGGGTTGAGACTCGGTCTGCGCGCCCTTCTTCTCGTCCTTACCCGGATGTCGAATACATCGCCTGTCCGAAGGAGAAGGACATCAAGTACGCCCGGGCATACAAGCACGATGACATCAGTTACTCGCCGAGACATGCCCATTATTACGAAGAGGACATTCGCCCTCCTGCTGTAGGGAGACGCCAGTCTGCCTATTAATTCAATCAACCATGAAACCCATGAAACATGATTACATACGACAAACCACGCCTCCAATACGCTTCAAATTTTAAATTTTCAATTTTATTTTTTTTTTCAATCTCACCAAGGAGTCGGGGCGTTTTCAATTCTCCGCTTTTCGCATGCGCCGCCTGTTCCACCGCGCATTGGGACTTTTTTTTTGGACTTCGATTTCCATTTGTGTCACCTGGTGCGCTTATCTCCGCGCAGCCGAGGCGAAGGACCAGGATCGGGATGTATCCTTGTTATTTCAGTTGGCGCATTAGGGCGGGTATGGGTGTGGATGATGTGTTGCATCTATCTTGCCTCAAATCCTGCACTTGTGGCGTATGAAATTGTCTTGTTGGTTCCTGCTTACTACTTTCTTTTTCTTCTCCCACTCTTTTTTTTCCTTCTTCTTTTTTATTATATACGTTGTTACTCCTGGGCTATTTCCAGATACCCCGTGGACTATCTTGTTGGAGAAATCCAATTAACGAATTACGCTTTTTCACATGATATGATATGCCAAAACCTTGATCCTTCGTTGGTTTCTTTGTTTCTCCTGTCGACTTTTCGAGTTGTAAGACGGATATGCTGGTTGAGTTGGGTTGGGCCACAGAAAGTGGCGGGGAAAGCCTCATAAGTTTGTGTACGGTGATTGGATTTTCTAAGAATAGACTATTGATGTATTTAGGCAAACCTTTTCGATCAGTGCAACCTTGGAATGTTTTAGAAGGCTAACTACTGGCTTATTTTACTCTTGGGGGCTGGTCAGCCTTGTTGGGCTGGTCAGCCTTGTTGGGCTGTCAAGGGTCGAGGCTCAATGAGAATTTGATTATCGTTTCCCCCGGGCTTGTGGTACTCTCCATCGGGTCTTCGACTCGATCTCAGAACTAGTCTTCTCCAAAACCCAACTTGGGTCCGACTTCTATAACCTAACCCAACCTAAGACCTAATACTAGGTAGGTACCTACCTATTAGGGCCCTAGGAAAACCTAATTTTATATAAAATAGAGCTCTTAGCGTTTATAACGCTACGAAGTTATCGAACTAAAATACTACAAGAATAGTCGGCCGCCTTTGCGGCCTTATGATATCTTTTTGGCTGTCTTTTTGGCTGTCTTTGTTTTGTATATATTTTGCTGCTCATCTCAGTTGTATAGATAAACGGTAGAAAAAGGCGGAGAGAGGCTTAATTTGTGAAATGGACTTTTCTATGTATAACTTTGGATTTATCATACTTATTCTAGTTTCCCTACTGTATTCTAAATTTCCAAGGTAGGTACTAGTATATGAACGCTGTTCTTCTCAGATGGAACTTGACTTTGCTTTTTCCCCTCTCATCTCTATATACGCACGTTCTGTCTGAGGGCTGTTACTTGAAATCTAATATCGTGGTTTCTTGTCTCTCGATTTACTCCCTTTTTCTTGATGGCGGATTTGAACCTTGTTCGCAAAACTCAGGGCGGTAGCTCAGGCGGTGCAGACGTGGGTCCTTCCAAGGTTATGATTTGACTTCTCTGCAAAGATCAATACATACTAATAAATGAGTTAGAATAGCAGGGTGACTGGCGCTGTTGGAATTGTGATAGGCCTGATCATGTCAAGGCCGATTGTGTTGAGCCAAAGCGAAAGAAGAACNACTTACACTCACAAAGCTCGAATGAGCACTGGCATTGCCATTTTCATTGCTGCCTTCGGGTATCCCAGTGGCAGCAATGAAAATGGCAATGCCAGTGCTCATTCGAGCTTTGTGAGTGTAAGTGAAAAAGATTCTGGTTGAGAGCGGCAGCAGATAAGCTCAAGTACTAATACGGATATAGGGAAGCCAAATTGAAAACCTCACAATCAACTGGGGCGTCCCTGCTGCTCCTTCCATCACTCCCGCGTCTGTCATTCAAAACTCTACAGAATTCTACCAAATCTACCGTCCCTCAGTAGCCAGCATTAATGCATGCTACCCGCCCATCTCAATCACCCCCCGCGCCTACCCAGCGATCTCTTCCTCCTGCCGAAGTTTTGCAGGCGCCTAGTGTTTCTCGTGGTGAATTGCTGGCATTTCTGATTTCTGACTCAATTTACTGGGTCAACGCGGACTATGGTGCAAGAACTGATAAGTGCAAGCATGGAGCTTATCAGAGAGGGAGTTCGTAGTGAATTCGAAGCGTACGACTCGCATTACAGTGGCAATGGTGATGGTAGTATGGATTATACAACTGATGCTAGTGAGGCAAACACCAATGAGTCCAATCTGCAGGAGACAGAGGACCAGTAAGAGAAGATCTGAACACCCTACTTTCTATTTAGTTTTTTTAATATGCCTTTATTATTCAGAACTACCCCACTACGCAAATTAGCATTATTCTGATTCAATCATGTAATGATCTTACGATATAACACCGAGTTGGTGCGAGCTTAGGCCAGTACATCCCTTAGGAACAAATCAATATAAGACGCTTTCATTCTAATTATCCCTGTCTGTTTGAGAGTCAAGAAGCTAATACATGACCATAGGATATCTTTTATTCAGCATGACCTATTCCAAGGTTGGCCTGGATAGAGGATGGATGGCACGCATACTTGTTTCATCTCTCAATTTACTGAGAACTAAGACCGAACTTGAGGCGTATTGCTGTATTCTATTCCTATTAGCCTTTCCTCGGCACGGCATAAGTCGACTTGGAGTGACAAATTTTGCAGCCCCGGAGGATATGTTAGCTTACTCCCAAAGGCTATTAGGCAACCGTGATCGCAGCCTCGTCGAAGACAATCCAACATCATATCGAGATTGGTTTCAAACGTAGTTTATGATTATTCACTTCCATTCCATATAGGTGACCCGTTCTTTTTCTCTCTCATAAACCACCGCCACCATTTTGATATTTTTTTTCATCTTGATTTTGAGACCAATTACACTGTGTACGGCGAAGGAATGTGGCCTACCCTAGCCGAAAGCGTTCAAAGAACATAGGACCAGAGTAGAATTCCCATAAGACAGTGAGCATACTATATAGGCCTATCTCGACGTATTGAACTTGGCTCAAGGCCTTTAAGCCTCATGCTGTCGCCAACTTCGCAAATTTCCCGCCAGGATTTTCATTCAGAACGTTTGGTAGAGAGCCATGTCCACGTCACTAGCGTTGGGCAAATCATTTGAATCCATGGTCTCTTGGAATACTGAATAACTAACACGTGGTGTTAGGCCATAGTATTTACTGGCTAGCGCTAAATTTTCCTCTAGTGGGATCTCATCGAAGGTGTGATAGCAGTCGAAGTCTCCGAGTATCTGACTTTGAGGAGTGTTCTGAGTGAGGTTTGCACAAAGTGAGAGTGAGAAAAGGGTAAACATAACGCTCAGAACGAACGGTCGGATATGTTTCTATGATTCATTTGAGAACGCATATGTACTGTCACGTATCGACTTCGGGTTTCTGGTCCATCGAGTTGGTAGACCAGTTGCGCACGGACGTACGCCACGATACCCGTGGACATACCTAGGTAGTGCGCCACTGTGGGTTCGACGGGTACTTGCAGATCCCCCGCGATCTCGGACGTATGAGGGAAAAAAGAGATTAGCATCATTTATAGGTTTCGTTACCTAGTCATACTAAGGAATTTACACAACCCAGGGAAGCAACGATTTGGGGACCTATCCGGGAAGGTACAATCTTAGAAACCTCAAAGGGCTTTGGTGGAACACTTACCAAGGCCTTGGTTGGGAGTCTGGATTGTTGTATTTTGGCATAAGCAACCGGATAATATGGACTTCAAGGCTCACCCCCATCATAATTGCCGCATCTCTCTGGGTATCTGTAAGTTTGCTACAAGCCTGGTCATCTTTCCTTAAGACACTTCCCTCGCAGGAGCTCTAACATGCTTGCAGTGTTTGAGAATGCGTGGTGCTACCACTATCTGGTAGACCTTCATGACTGTCAGTAATGTTCGTCCCAATCAGCTCAATGACACAGGCAGAGAGAATATGGAAGACCCTGAGAAAACAAAGCACAACTACATGGACCGCCCGGATCATATCGCACGAGCAAAGCAATTTATCACACAGCTACAACTTGGCATATGCTGGAGGCTTTATCAGAAACTGCTTCAATATCAGAATAATTTGCTAGCTGCATACAGTGAGGAGATCTTGTCCACGGGCTGAAGAGAGCCCAGACACTCAGAAGATTTACCGTTGCCCCTATCGCGCATAGATGGCTCTTCGCTTCATTGTTTTCGACTCCGATGAGGCATTTCCAAGGATTTCAACTACCCAATTCCAGCTAGCTGGCCACGAGGGATGCCAAGGCCCTACCAGAGCATAATCTATGACAATTTTCGTATCGTGACAATCGTGACATTCGTGTTCGCCATGGAAGATGGAAGAGCAAAGTGTCCCCGATCTGATTATAAGTGCCAATCAGATTTCCTCGGGACTCACATGCATGATGTTCGATACAACGTGCAAAGAGTATGACCACTTTTCTACCATACTGAAGCACCTGTTTGGCTATAGTCTAGAGCTTCCAATTGTTGTTCATGGACAAGAGCACAAGCCAAATTGTCGGACTTTCCGAGTGGTAATGCAGTATATCCGACTACTTATTTCCCATGGTTATCTCTGATCCTACTCATAACTCCACCGAGGCTATGCCGGGTCACATCGTCACTTGGTTGCATTGAATACTGTCCTCCCTTCTCTAGTTCAGATTATCTCGTTCCTTAGTCGTACAATCCGATATCAATTCCATTCCTTCTTCATTACTGTCCACTCTCCGCTCTGTTGAGTTGAGTGTCGGAATTTCCTCCACAATTTTCCTCCACAATGGCGGCGACTGGTAAGGCCTTCTAACGGAGGTGCGCACTCGAGTTGGCTTTGGCAAATGGGCTGGCAAGCCTTGATGTGCAGGCGTCTCTCTGCCGACAAGCGAAGAACCAATTTTGCAGCGATGTGCCTATATCCCAGAGGATGAGAGCCGTACAGGCTACGTTTGAGCCTAATTCCGAAAGTCCCAATGTTTCTTCGACGTCGAAGTTTGACAAAATTGGCTATGTCAAATGTATTGATGAATAAAATGCTTTTGCTAAAGCGTCATGATAGATTAGTCTGCCTCCGGTGGCCTTTTCTCATATGAGAATTATCCTGAGTGTGTAGGTAGCCTCGGAGGTAGCCTCGGCTTCATATCTCACATTTCGAGGCAACAAATTAAGAAGAATAGATTCACTTATCCAATATCCAATATATACCAGGCCTTGTGAGCCTTTACCCTGCTGGCACAACAATTTTCTGAGTGGCGTGATAATTACCCAAGTCCTACCCTGTAAGGACGGAGGCCGACTTTTCTTTTTACAGCGGTACAAACAAGTGGTATACATAATCGCAGGTAATATTAATATCAAATCACAGTGTTGAGAAAAGAATAACCGAAGTTATGTACAGAGCAGGAGACACCGGTAATGGTATCATATATTAATAGGAGGACGCCAGGGTTCTATGCCTTCCTTGGCCCAGTTTACTTCTTGCCAGCTCGCCATGTCTAAACGCATGCGCACCGAGTTTCCGTTTTAAACAAGGACGTATAATGCACACATCTAACAGCAAAATCAGGGTTAGAACAAGGTGTAGTGGGATGTTGCATATCTCAGGGTGAAGACATAGAGCTTACCATAGACAGACCCAAGATCATTGAGAACCAGAAGAAGGCATTCTATGAAGGAAGTCAGTGAGAACTGCAAAATATCCAAGCAAACAAACAACAGCTTACATTGAGAATTGTCTGGCCACGGAAAAAGCGAGACTTTTGGATCGCAACAATAGGCAGCTGAAGCATCATAGCCAGGAAACCGTATCCCCGAAGCTTCTTGGTGATGCAGCTCATGACTAGCTCGTGGAATATAGAGCTGACCAGGAATGTGATAACCATAGCTACAGGCTGGGAGAAGTTACACCGGGAGGGCCAGTAGACGTGGCGGAAGAGGAAGTGGTGGACAGGGACGTTCCACTCGCGAGAAAATTCCAACCTAAGTAAAAATTGGTTAATCGAATTACCCGAACATTTAGAACCACAATTTCAACTTACCAGTCACAGGAATTCCACCAGTCTGCATAGAAGTGACGATCGGCGAACCGAGTCAGCTCTGCAAACGCACCCAGCACATATTCGAAGATCACGAGGAACACCAGCAGGAAGATGATCATGAATGGAAAGAGGAGCATGCTGATGGTTTCGGCAAGGATGAGAGCCTTGTCTGTGATGTTGGAAACGAGTCGAAGTTGGGCGCTGGCCTCTGCCAATACGGGGACGATGAATTCCTCGCTGGTCAAAGTGAGCAGGAAGATACAACCAAACACAGCAGCGGCCTTCCAGCCAATTTCTGACCAGCGTCGCTCCTTTCGGCGAGGATACTCTAGCTCATAGCAAAGAGTCGGACAAAAGAGGAAGTCAACATAGTTTCCAATGTGCAGGTTCTGCGGGTATGAGATGTTTCCTAGTGGGGAGGTCAACTCCGTGGCAAGATCTTCGCGCAGCCTCTCTAATGGCTCCGCGGACTGGTCTTCATCGTGCTGCTTCATTGACGGCCGACGTCGGTGTACCTCCGGGTAATGGATGGCAGCCGGAGGCTCCGGCGTCTTTGGGCCTGGCTGATCGAGGGAGGCAAGGCGGCGCTCTGTCTCGCTGAGATGCCCATTATAAAAAGCGTATGAATGCAGTTTCATTAGAATGGTCAGAGTGTGCAGCGTGAAGAACACCTGCGCAGTCCAGGTCCATTGCATCATGAAGGGCCAGCTGTTCTTCTTGTTAGCTCTCCAAATTCCGGCGTTCAAAACAAGCCACAAACTCACTTTATCCATAGAACCAGCCAAAATGCTTCACCTAAGCTTTGTACTATCATACCTCCGCGCGACCATTGCAGCCACTGCGGACCACCCCGCCACAACCGGTGCATAGGCAGGACGAGCCCTGAGCTTATCACCATTGCCGCATCGCTGAGCCCCATCCCCCACACATTAGCCGTTAGGAGACTCCAAACGCGCACCTGTAGGGGGTATCCGGTATCTTTGATATTGCGCAAGATGCTGGTCCCGACCATGATGGCCAAGCCAATCCAAAAGAGAGTAAAGAACCCTCGGAAGTTATGATAGTCGCTATCGGGATCAAAATGTGACACGCGAGGCACATAATCTATAGTGTAAAACAGGCGATTGCGAGCGCGGACTTGCTTCCTCGCGGACGAGATCGAATGCGCTGACGGGGGAGCATCTTCGGAAACAGGGGTTGAGCGGCCACTTCGGATGCGACAAACATATTAGCTATTGTCTGAAACCCAGTACGGTTGTGATAATCGAGGGCAAGTTACCTTATATCATGAGCTAGCTTATCCACTGGAAGAGGGAGAGGGATAGCCACGTCGGACTTTCCATCAGGTTGTATCGGCACGGCGCGCGGCCGCAGATTCGCAGATTCATTCTTGGAGATGGCGCTAGACATCCTATATGGGCGCAATTGCAGAATCAGGGGGTTTGCACATTGAAGATACTGAGACAGAAACTTGGAGACACCTAAGATTATGTGGGGTCAGCTCTGTTTTGATTTGTTTGGACTCGAAACTCGAAACCAAAAATCACGGGCCACTACGTCAGACTGCCTTTATAGTACTTATGTTGTATGTACAACATACTCCGTACGTTATACAATATACATGCAGGCTAGGCAGATGTAACTAGAGGCGCAAACTGTTGAATTGTTGATATATTTATATGTAGGATCTTTATCATGCTTGTATATTTTATTTTGGTGCAAGTTAGTTATAGGTATTTTCTCTCACGATGAGCAGACATTTTGTATGTTGTATATAAGATCTTTTAGTTATAACTAAGTATCTTTGCATTGTATTCTAGTTAGTACTTCTACGGTTGTAATTTCCAAACCTGCCAATTATGTCATTCTTCTGCCTCAGGTGTCAATTCAAAGGCGGTGTAGCTGAGATGGTATCAAAGAGTCAGGTGATCCAGGGTAGCCAAGCTAGTCCTCTTCAATACTAGTGCCCCATGCCAAGATGCCAGGTCGACTGCCATGAGGAATAATAATACAACAGTCCAGACCTCCAGACCAACAGCCTTGATACTTCTTTTGTTTCCTCGGTTTTATGAGCGCGGTGCTTGGTTCACCTCATTGCACCTGACTTTGTCCCGTCTTATCCATTGAATATCTCCCCTCCTCGCCCCGCCGGGGGTCCCTCTGGCCGCCATGTCTTCCCGTAAGTGCTGCCCGCCGCCCCTCCTCTCCCCTGAGATGCATTCTGACCACACAATCCAATCTGTCTACAGTCAAGCAATTCATCCGTAATGTCCGATCAGCAAAGACCATCGCCGATGAACGTGCAGTTATCCAAAAAGAAAGCGCCGCTATTCGCGCCTCGTTTCGAGAAGAGAGCCATGACTCCGGCATTCGGTTAGCTTCAGCATCCACCTCAGCCATTACTCGGTCGACCTCTAACAATTGATAGGAGGAATAACGTTGCCAAGCTCTTGTATCTGTTCACTCTCGGAGAACGGACTCACTTCGGCCAAATCGAATGTCTGAAACTACTCGCCTCACACCGATTCGCCGACAAGCGGTTGGGGTATCTGGGGACCATGCTGTTGCTAGATGAGAACCAAGAAGTGCTAACGCTTGTGACTAATTCTTTGAAAAAGTAAGTCTCACTGTAGTTGACCTGGCTGACGCTGTGCTAACTAAAATGCAGTGACCTTAATCACTCTAACCAATATATCGTCGGTCTCGCTCTCTGTACCCTCGGAAACATTGCCTCGGTCGAAATGTCTCGCGATCTATTCCCCGAAGTCGAAACCCTGATGTCGACCGCCAACCCGTATATTCGACGGAAAGCAGCGATTTGTGCCATGCGGATATGTCGCAAAGTTCCAGACCTGTATGAGCACTTCCTCGAGAAAGCTAAGAATCTGTTATCGGACCGGAATCATGGTGTTCTTCTCTGTGGGTTGACACTGGCGATTGATCTATGTGAAGCGGAAGAAGAGGAGGAGGAGGAAGGAGGACCAGTGGGTGTGATCGAAATGTTCCGGCCGTTGGCCGGAGGACTGGTTCGCGCTTTGAAGGGGCTGACAACCTCCGGGTATGCCCCCGAGCATGATGTGTCCGGTATCACAGATCCTTTCCTCCAAGTCAAGATCCTTCGGTTCTTGCGTGTATTGGGTCGGGGAGATGTGGCCACTAGCGAATTGATCAACGACATCCTGGCCCAGGTGGCCACCAATACGGATTCCTCAAAGAACGTCGGCAACTCTATTCTATATGAGGCCGTTCTTACGATTCTGGATATTGAAGCCGACTCTGGTCTGAGGGTGCTGGGCGTCAACATTCTCGGTAAATTCCTGGCTAACAAGGACAATAATATCCGTTACGTTGCGTTGAACACCCTGAATAAGGTTGTCGCAATTGAACCAAATGCAGTGCAGAGACATCGCAACACGATCCTGGAATGCTTACGGGATCCTGATATTAGCATTCGCCGGCGAGCGCTCGATCTCAGCTTCATGTTGATCAACGAAGATAATGTGCGTGTGCTGGTGCGGGAACTGCTAGCCTTCCTGGAGGTGGCCGACAATGAATTCAAGTCCGTGATGACAACACAGATAGGAATCGCGGCCGATCGGTTCGCACCCAACAAGCGCTGGCACATGGACACCATTCTGCGGGTTCTCAAGCTGGCTGGGAACTACGTCAAAGAACAGATCCTGTCCTCATTCGTCCGCCTCATTGCGACGACCCCTGATCTGCAGACATACGCGGTTCAAAAGCTCTACTCGTCATTGAAAGAGGACATCTCACAAGAGGGTCTTACACTGGCTGCGACATGGACCATTGGTGAATATGCCGATAGCCTCCTTCAGGGTGGTCAGTACGAGGAAGAGGAACTGGTCAAGGAGGTTCGGGAGAGCGATATTGTCGACCTCTTCACCAACATTCTCAACAGCACCTACGCCTCCCAGATTGCTGTCGAATACATCATCACTGCATCCATGAAGCTTACTGTGCGCATGTCGGATCCCGCTCAAATTGAACGCCTACGCCGTTTGCTTTCCAGCCGAACCGCGGACCTGAGTGTAGAAATTCAACAGCGTGCCGTTGAATATACCAACCTTTTCGGTTACGATCAAATCCGCCGTGGTGTGCTCGAGCGGATGCCCGCGCCTGAGATCCGCGAGGAACAACGGGTACTAGGTGCTGCACCCGCTGCTAAAAAACGTCAGAGTAAGCTTCTTCGTGGGAAGTCGACTACAAAGGTTGTCAAACCTGCAGAGCATGACCTACTCCTTGACCTGGTTGGCGGATCCGACGCCCCTGTCACGAGCCCTACCTCGACCGGATCGAACACCGCCGATCTGCTGGCAGACATTCTTGGCGGAGATTCGGGCATGTCATCTCCCTCGCCGGGGCCTGCTGGCCAGAAGAGCGCCATCATGGACCTGTTCGGCTCCAATGGTCCTTCACCATCCCCTCAGCCTACACAACCCGCATCCGCCTCGATGGATCTGCTAGGTGCAGGAGGCATAGGTGCCTCTTCGCCTTCGCCCTCCACCTCTCCCGCGCCTGTCACTGCTTCGACGCCTGCACACACCGCGCTCAACAAGGACGGCCTCGTCCTTACCTTGCAGGTTCAGCGAAGCGGCAACAATGCCCATATACTGGCCCGGTTCCGCAATGACTCCAACTTCGACCGATTCACTAATGTCGGCTTGCAAGCTGCCGTGCCAAAGAGCCAGCGGTTGCAACTGAGCGCAATCAGCAAGGCTGATCTGGAGTCAGGCGACGAGGGCACACAATCAATGCGTGTGACCGCTCTAAATGGGGTAAGTCCTGTTTCTCCTTCCTATCTTACTTTTTTTGCTTTCAGGTCTCAAACTAACCTATTACCTCCAGAGTCTTCCTGCCAAACTTCGTCTCCGTCTTCGTGTCACTTCCGCCCGCGACGGTGGAAACCCTGTCACCGACCAAGTGGACTGGTCCGAGCCGTAGATCGAATCGGTGGCATTGATGTTAAAATTTCATCCGAACGAATGTTTTAATTTTCCCATGAACAGTCAAATCCAGTTTTATACACCCCGTTTCTCTGCACCTTCCTCGCTTTTACTGCTATCTATCTAGACTTTTGTTTTGCCATTAATTTCCTTTTCTCTTGTACTTCGTTCCCCTCCTCGGAGGGAGGGACTGCTCTCATCGTATATGCTTCAGGTGAAAGTTTCAGCATATGAGAAAGTGCAGGGTGTATTGCATGGAGTCTATGTAGCTAATGGCCCATATTAGAGCTGTACCAGAAGTGCGTTCCTACAAGTATGTACTCATTAGATACTGGTAGACGTTAAAGTGCATTGTGACACCTATGACACAGACTAAGTCCAAAAACAACCGAAATGCAATACACGACAGAAAGCAAGGCTCTATAACCTCAAAGGGAGAATTCAGATCAACTGCAGCCTCCACAAGAAAAAATCGAAAGTCAGTATATAATCACCAAAGACAGAAACAATTCAACTCCATCGCAGAACATAAAGAAATGCAAGGTCGTATAATTTATCCAAAACCCAAGGCATGAGCCCAATCTTCAAGGCAAGACCGGAAGATACCGAGACGCCAGAATGATATATAAGGTTGAAAGCAAGCCCAAAACAAATAGCCAAGCTAATCAAATGTGCTCAATGGGGCCCTCGGGAAGCAGCACCTCCCCCTCTCTCCGGTCACGAGGCAAACAAGCCTTGAGCGGAGGGCGGACGATGTCATTGAACATGAAAGTTCCATAGACAAGAAGCGCGAAACCGGCCACTTGGAGCCATTTGAAGGTCTCCCAGCCGAGTCCAAGTGAGACAATCCAGATAAAGAGCGTGCGGCAAGTGTCGATTGTGCTACGAGAGGTAGCAGAGACAGTGCGGGTGACAGACAGACCGAAGAAGTTGAAGCCACTGTAAGAAACGTTAGAGGGGAGGACAGGAACAGGGAATTGAGAAGCAAGGTAAGCACATACCCGATACTGATCATGATAAACACACTGGATATCGCGACGGCACGGTTATTGAAAACCTCGTGCAATCCCTGCTTGATATCAAAGTAGCCATATCGGCCGGCATCGGTCCGTCCAACAACAAGATACATGATCACCATGCCGGCGACAGTAACCAAAAAGCCGAACACGCCTTCCCAACCCACAACATGGATCGGTTCCATGGCGTAGTTCTCCAGAATCCACTCCTCCAGCACAAATTGTGTGGCTGTGAAGATCTGCGCTGCAGCAATAAGCAGCACACCAATGATGGCCTGGACAGCCTCGGGGGTCCGAGCGACATCACGCGCCTGCATAAGAGCATGCGAAGCCGCATCGATAGCACTCCCATCCTGGGTGATATCGTGACCTGGCTCACCACTGAATAGAGCTCCAGAAAGACCCACAATAGCTACACCCAGGACGACAATGAAGAGTGCGCTCCACTGGTATAAGTGGAGTCTGCGACGAAGGAAGAGGACGCTGAACAGGCCAACGAAGAGGACAAGTGCACCTCGGGTCATCTGATAGATACTGGCTGCCACAAAGAGAAGCCCCACGTTCATGAGGGTCGTGCCGGCAATATCGCAGCTCGACGGCGCTGCAAGAAGTAGGATCTTCCATCCACGAAGTGGGATACGGCTGTCATCTTCGGGCAGGGGCTTGGGGTGTCTGCTGTCGCTATCGAGTCCATCGACTGTGTGGTCATCTTCGTGATCAAGGCCTTCGTCATCGCCGTTTATCGGGTGATATCCGCCAGTTAGAAGGGGTGAGGGGTCACTGGATAGGCGTGGTGCAATATATTGGCGGTAGAGGAAGGTTAAGCCGACAACTAGCCAACATCCCATTTCACCTATAAACATTACGGCTCTGTGTTACCGCATGGTGTCAGTATTGATCGTTGCAAAGCTATATCATCAACACGAAGTGAAACCTACGTTTGAATGACAGGCTGCTCAAACAGCTTTCGCTGGCTAGGATCAGGGGAATCGCAGTTCCGCACGCATTGCATATCCTGTTCGAGATTCGGCGATTAGTTCGTGTTTCTTTGTAGCTTCTCAATCGAGGACGAATCGAGGATGAATCGAGGACGAACCTGATACTTGTTAAGAATGGTGTTGCACACCCCGGTCACGAGCATCATCGTGACCAGGAGGGGAATGAGGGCATTGTTTGCCATATTGTCCCACTATGGTACTGTGGTTGATAAAAAGTTACTCCAAGTGTTAGGAGGAAGGAGAGGAAGTGATTAAAGGGCTGAGACAAAGCGGAGGCAAGCTTATCGAGCTTATCGGCTGATCACATTTGTCATAGTCCCCACAACCTCGGAAGGTACCCGTTGACACATTGGGCTTCACATTCAACGTTGTATGTGTGGAGTACTCCGTATATCTAGCCTTATAGCCTTAATGTATGTACGGGGTACTCAAATACTCTACTTAATACTCTCTCCTTCTTAGCTTTCCCTTCCCATTTTAGTGCTTAGCCTCTATAACTAAGCATCCCCCGAGCCCCGTATTACATAAGCATATTGACCATCCATGGATCTATGGATCTATGGATCCTCCGCAAGTAGCCAAGCAGAGTAGCAACACTACTTGAACTGTGATTTATCGAGACTCGGGGATATTTGATTCTGATGCTTGCAGATTGTTTGAGGCCTAGCCCAATATGGCTCTTACATTTATCTGCCAACTTTATCCGCGCAAATAATTTCTAGTACAGTCGCTGCAAAGGAGCAAGAGCTGTACTTGGCCGAGTAGCAACAATAACCCGGTACTTGGTTTGCAAGGGAAATGAATAGGGGTAGGATGCTAATGCAAATGATCCTTCTGATTATCTGATCCTACACATTCACAAAGAAGTGACTCGGTGTCCAGCATTCCCCTCGAAGGTGGTAGACAAAGCCTTCATGGAACAGCCCGGAAAGGTCATGCAGTGAGCAGCGAGAAGACAAAGAAAATATCTGGGGTGTCAACCTTCGGATGAAGCGTCTTTCTCAAATTTGTTTCAGTGCTACGCTAATGATCCTGGAGTAGCATCATAGTTCTTTCAAGATCGCTCGCCCGTCCACGGCGATATCTTATTCAATCATGTATCTATCCTTGGCAGTCCGACACATTTCTGCCTCTTTGAACAGATAAAGACTGACTCTGCTTCCCAGAGAAAAAGAAGAAGAAGAAGAAACGCCAGCAGCACTCTCAAACAGTTCTACGGATAATGGGGCACTTCCACCTTAGCAACTTCATTGCTCTCATTGGCATCCTTTTGGTTGGTCCGACAGCAACATCTGGTGCAGCTGTTTCCGTTGTATCTCAAGCAGATAGCAACGATATTTGTTCCAAATATGTTGTCCAGGCTGGCGAAACTTGTTCTGCGATTGCCCAAGCCCACTCTATCACCACGGCTGATATCGAAACCTACAACGCTCAAAGCTGGGCATGGACTGGTTGCGGACAGATATCGCAGGGTGATTTCATCTGCCTCAGTTCTGGAGAGTCCCCAATGCCAGTTGCGCTTCCACATGCTGTTTGTGGTCCCCAGGTGCCTGGAACGGCACGCCCGAACACCTGGTCTAAACTGGGGTCTTTAAATCCGTGTCCGGCCAATCAATGCGTGAGTTGAGAGTTTGAACACTTTTCTTTGACTTTGAAGTCTAATAGTTCTACAGTGCTCTTCGTCGGGTCTTTGTGGAACCACTCCGGACTTTTGCACCTCTGCGGCTCATGTCCCTGTAGCATTGTCTATGTCCACCGATACTCAACCCAATCAATTGACAACCACATCACAAGCGATTACTATATCTACTAGCCCAGCTATACCTCTTCAGAAAGTTGTGACTAGCAGTGAGACCTCATCCAGCATGACCACATCGACCAGTGCAACCACGTCTGTCCCCACAACCACGTCAACCACCACGACCACTAAGACTACTTCAACTCTTAAGACCACGACGACATCAACCATATCATCCCAAACAAAAACAAAGACAAGCACCAGTACCAGCACGACCAAACCAAAAATTGTTAAACCATGGTCACTCACAATGTACACCAAGCAAGACTGCAAGGGCGACTACTATGTACTCCAAGGACACAACAAGGGCTACTCGGATACCTGCCTGAACTTACACGGAGGTCTCAGTAGCAAGGACACAGATACCGGTGTTTCCTGCAAATGGTTTACAAACGACGGCAAGTCCAGCACTAAATGTGATTCCGGCGCCCTCACTAGACCTCAATCCTGGATAGTAGAGACCGGTATTTGCACTGTATTCAGTGTTAAAGATTGTAAACATGATTTGCATTCTAATGCTTATACACCTGTGCCTAAGCATCCTTGTCAGAATCGGGGCAAATTCGATACGCCGTACTTTGTTTCTATGAATTGTTATACCGAGGGTTGAGGTTGATGGCTTTTGGTGTGATGGGTTGCTTTCTAGCCTTTTGAACTTGATTCATGTTATAAAACTCATCCTTATACCGAAAGACATGCCTGGAGTTTTCTGGGGTTCATTGGGCGATCTATTGTCTATATATGTAGTTCTATATGGTAATAATGTTGATGGTGACATTGCCTCGAGTTGCGATCAGGTCCAAAAGGTCTTGCATTCTGTAGAATATCCTTCAAATATGCGTCTTCTTCTTCATTGCTTCTTTTTGAATTCTGCTCAGCGCTCACTTAGCGTTCATTAAACCCTAATTTACCACTGCGATAAATCTGAGCAGCTCACTGAGTCTGAGTTTTAGTGAGCCTCACTCTAAAAGCCCTCATAAAAATGGCAGCTAAGATAGGAATGCCCCAGCAGAGGAAACATAGTACGTAGAGCTACATAAGAATGTATAGATTCAAGTTTTTCAAAAAAAGATTTGAAATAAATAACCCGGTTAAGAACCTAAGCCCGGTTTTTCCTCCCTCCAAACGCCATCGCTGAGGCCAATGGACAACACAAAAGTCCAAAAATAATTAGAAACCAAAAGGTGGATCTCCAAGGATCATAAGAAATTAACCAGGAGTCCTGCGTAGTGTACAAACGCATCGCTCCTGAGCCATATATACGCTGAAAACGAACCGCCGAAATGAAATGTTTCATAAACTCAGTCCATCTTCATGTAGGACTAGCGATGTGTACAAGCTCTCAATACAAACCAGGGATTTCACTTTGGCATGCTGATGCGAATGCCTTCTCTGTCGTAGCGCGCAACAGCATCCCAGTCAACCTCAAGCTGGCCCATAGGTCCGATGCCCTTGACTTGGATCTCAGGCGGAATGCGCAGCCACTCCGCAGTCCTTGTAATGGATTCTTCGTCCCAAGGTTCATAAAACTTCTCCAAGAAAGCAGCTTCCTCGGCCTCGTCCGGAGGAGTCAGACTAGCAAAGGCAGCCCAGTCGTCATCCACCGGAGTAGCTTCATTGATATCGAAGTCCTCGAGCGAATCATAGCCCAGGTGAGGCAGGTCCTTGCTCGCGAGGTTTGAAAAAGTATCATGGATTGTGTCAAGCGAGGTGGGACATTCCGCCCAGGGATCCTTTGTATCGCTATCCTCCAGTTTGATAACTTCCTTCTTTACGTCCTTGTCGGCAGGCTTCATTCCCTTGACAGAGGACAATTGCGGAGTGAGCAGCTGAGTTGATGCTGCAGCAGGAGACGCGGTCTTGGCTCCGAATTGGCTAGTGACCCTGACCATGGGGGCGTTGTTGGCAATGAGAGGGGTAGCAATACTTTGTTTCGCGGGAGAAGCTGTTGCACTAAGCTTGGTGGAGGGTCCGAGTGTGGCTGTTTGCTGGGTTTCCGGGCTATCATTGGGGTTCAGTCCAAGACCCATCGAGATACTTTCATGGTAATATTTGAGATAATCCTCGATGATCTCTTCCTCCTCGGGTTGATGGCTTTCTTCAACATGCTTGTCCAAGGCGGCTTGCGTAGGGAATCCTTGGTAGTGGTGTTGACACTCAATCACACTGCATTTAAAGGCACCTGCCATAGCTGCAGCATTGGATGTGGCGTCCGCCACCGCCTTGTTGTATTTTGCCGCTGCGCCAGGAGCTGCAGTTGCTTGAATCGGGGAGGATGCCACGCCATGAGACTGCTTTCGCTTCTTGGGAGGAGGCAACTTAAGATTCTCGGGGGCAAGTCCGCCTGGGGCATACTGAGGGACGCCCCTGGGAGATGGAGCCGCGAAAGGTGCAGCTGGGGCATTTGCAACAGACTGGCTAGATGCGCGCCGGGCTCGTTGTAGGGCTTCTTCCTGTGCCTGTAACTGCTGCAGGTTGGTCGCGTTCAATGCTGGCATGTTGCCTTGCATTGTCTGGGCGTTGGAGCTAGCGGGCTGGGGGGCGTTAGGGCGCTGGCCTTGTTGCATGCGAGAAATCATGACGGCGAACAACTTCCGCATAAAAAGGATGGCACCAGTGAGGTAATCAGAAGTAACTGTGAAATGTTCATTTACAACCCAATCCTGCGAGGGCTTGAACTGTCTCATCAATTGGATACGCTAAGTGAGATCAGATTAGTAAACAAACACTTATAGTAGGTATCAGAGGAGAGCTTACCATGGCGAGAAGATTCTTCACATTCTTCTCCTGGCCTTGCATCTTTGCAAACCACTGTACAAGGGCATCCAAGCGGCCGAGAACATCCAAGGCTTCACGCAGTTGTTTGGTCATAGCGGCCTTCTGCTCTGGCGAGACAGGCATAGGCTTTGCGGGTGGAGCGTTCTTGGCGATATCATTATAAACCTCCATAACCTGCGGTGGTAGGTTCCTATTCCATGCTTCGTCGGCGGCAGCTCTGCTAAGTACCTGACCCCGACTTTGAGATTGTTGTCTCCGCATGTGTGCCTCAACTTGGGCTCGCTGTTGAGGGGTCATCTGTGCAAGCTGTTCTGGCGTGAAGGGAAGGCCTGGCCGTTGGGGGGCTGTCCCCGGGGCGCCTGGAACTGCTACAGGCTGGCTCATCTGGGGTGTAGCTGCGGGTCGGGCTTCTGTTATATCATCTGTGCTGGGTCTCTTCTTTGAGGCCTGCTTCCCAGTAGCACCCTTAGCACCTTTGGCAGCAGCTCCAGTTTGGGGCTTTGCGTTCGCCGCTTGGGGGGTCGATTGCGGGGCTTGGGGATGTTGTTGCTTCATTTGCAGGATAGGCTGTGCTGCAGGAGCCGGAGGTTGCGCCGCCGGTTGGCTTAGCTGGCCAGGCTGCGTGTTTCCTTCAAGTTGCATTGCTCGGTTCTGTGCAGCCTGCATCATCTGCTTCTGGCGGTTTCGGTACAGAATCTCCCGAATCTGCTCGTCGGTGAAGTTTGACGCCTGGTGTCCAAGCTTTTGACGAGCCAGTTGGATGTCTTGGGCGGAAATTGGCCGCATAGATGCCATGTTGATAGCAGATGGTTGTTGGCCAGAAGGGAAGCCTGACGTGTTCGTAAACGGAGCCTGGGTGCTTTGGAATGGAGTTGCCGCTGGACCCTGGCCATTCTGGTTGACTTGATTTGTGGAAGCTGCGATCAGCTGACCAAGATGAAGCTTCTGAAGCATCATGAGGCGCGGGAGGTCATTGGGGCTTGCAACTTGAGGGTTTGAACTTGCCCATTGCTTGAGTTGACCCCATGATTTGATGTTGTTAGGTACTTGCATTGAGGTGCCATTCATGTTCAGAATAGACGGTGGGAAAGACACGCGGTCCATTTGCTTGCCCTGCTCGGGGGTCATTTCCACGCCATTGTTTTGCTGCCGCAGCAGTTGGAGCTTATAACCCTCATTCTGGCGTTGTTGACGTTGCTGCTGAGTCATTTGCTGGCCTTGGGGTATTCCTCCCGAGTTCAAATCCTGTGGAGCACTCATCGGGCCTCTCATCATGGCGTTGCCCATCTGGTTATTCATCATGGATTGGGCTTGACCTGGTTGAGGCTGCGGCTGCTGGCCGGGGTTGGCTCGAGCCATGTTGTTGAGAGCGGCGCGACGTTGCTGCATGATGAAAACCCGAGCCTGTTCAGGGGGCATGCGAGCGAGTTGTTCCTGGATATGGGGCGGGATGTTGGAAGGAATTTGTAGTGGACCTTGCATCCCAGCTTTCCCTGCAACGCCAGCCGGATGCTGGCCCATATTCGCAGGTCGGGACGGTGGCCGGGCTTGAGCGGGTACCTGGACCGGAGACATCTGACCCGGGGCCATTGGTTGATTCAGCATTGGCATGACGGGGCTCTGTCCATTTAGTTGTGGCTGTGATTGGGGGGCCACTTGGCCACCATGGCCCGACATCGCCATCTGAGCCTTCTGGGCCGCTTGTGCACGCGCCTGGGCCTGGGCTTGAGCCTGAGACTGTTGTGCCTGGAACTGCATTCGATCCTGGGGAGTATTAGACCCACCCTGCAGATGCTGTTGGGCGAGGAACTGAGCCTGAGCATTTGTATTATTGGCGTTCATATTCGCCTGGCCATTCTGGCCCATCTGCTGTGGGAACATGTTGTTGTTATTATTCGGAAATGGGGCCTGGTTCATTTGAGAAGAGCTGGCAGGAACGACTAGCTGACCAGCCTCCTGTGAGCGCAGGCCATCTGCTTGCTGTCCTTGGATGTTTTCCACGTTGCCAATAAAGTTTGGGGGTTCCATCGTCTGACCGGGATTTCCGGGAAATGCAGAATTGCGTTGAAGGTTTAACATGCTTTGAAGCATCTGTCGTTGGTGCTGAGAATTCATCATTGGGTCACCCATCATGTTACCATTCGCATCCACCCCAGCATTTGGCGCACGTCCTCCCATTTCCAGACGAGCGCGGCGATGGCGTCTGATCTGGTTGAGTGCCTGAGAGCGGAAAAAATAGGTCATTGGCTCAAGGTTTTTCCGTGCCAGGTATTGTCGCTGCTCAGGTGTCATGTTTGACAAATTCAATTTGATCTTCTCCATATCTTCTGGGTTCGTTTTATTCAACATCTCGTTTGCCAGTCGAGAGACGTGGTCCAGGTCTTGGGCTGAAAGCGTGCTGAGGTCGTCAACCATCGGAATTCCATTACCAGGGCGCTGTTGGGACCTCTGTTGCTGCTGTTGCTGCTGCTGCTGCTGCTGTTGTTGTTGCTGCTGCTGCTGTTGGAGCATCGCCTGCGACTGCTGTTGCTGTCGCTGCTGCTGAATTGCTGCCTGTTGATTCTGCCCATTCATTCCCATTGCCATCTGCTGTTGGCCAGAAACCGGCGACCCCTGCATGCTCTGGTTGATGTGCTGCGGAAAAGCGCCTGGGATCTGATTTTGACCAGCGCCCGTCTGGGGCATCATTCCACTTTGGTAAGCGACCGCGGCCTGTCTCTCTCGGGTGTTTCTGATGTGAAGAAGCTTCTCGGTACATTCCTTCTCGTATTCGATCTTCTCGTTGGCTTTGGTGAATGCTTTTAATTCGAAACTCATGGCCGCCTGGGCCGCTTGGTGGAGATCGATGCGAGGTTGGATCAAACGGAGGGAGGTGATCCTAATTCATGCAAAGGTTAGACCAGGTAAGATTAAAGCGCAAATAAAGGTTAGACCAGGCAGAAAATGCAACTTACATTTGATAAACATTCGTCGCCCGAGTCTTGATTAGAACTTCTGCCTTCCAACCTCCATAGGGTCCCTGGTTTTGCAACATTTGCGCAACATAGGTCATCATAGATTGCACACTGTCATTCTTTGGGACCTGCATGTTTGCGTTCATCCTCATCGCGGTATTCGGGGCTGGCCGGCCAGGCCCCGCGCCCGGGTTGGGGAACTCTCCGGGATTCATAGCGGACACCCCATCAATGGGGGATCAATGGGTAATCCGCGAAGAGGTTTGTTGAAGGTTAGCATTCGCTGGAATACCATGCGCAACTGTGAAGATGTCGCAAGGTTAGTGATGAAGACGCAAGGAAGGAGTTCAACACGGGTCGCTGATCAGCGGAAGGGAAAAAAAAGGTAAGCAGGTGCTGGTGTGGAACCGTGATTCGAGTCGATCAGGGAGGGTGGGGATGGGTGGAAAATGGACGAAACGGAGGACAGGAGGGACTGGAGGGACTGGAGGGAACCAAGGCCGACCAACACAACGAGGAGAGCAAGGCGTTCGGGCACCAGCGTCAGATGGATTCAATTCGCTGGCCAGCACCTGATTGTGGCTTGGAGCGAATGAGAGCAGCTGTAGGGTGGATTGGATCCGTGACAGGGATCATGCAGCTCTCAAGTTGCACCGGGCCCTCAATTGCTGTCTCTACACAATGGCAAGAAGATTTGGGGAGGGGGGGGGAAGAAGAGAATGAACATAGGTGCTTACTGAAAATCAGAATCAGAATGACACTGAGACAAAGAGATAAGTGCACAGATCTCGTTGAGCTGGAGGCAAAGAAAGAAGTGGCGGGTGAAGGTTATTATTATGAATGGGTTTTTAATGTGTTATTAAATGAATGAGAAGTGACAAAATTGAAAATGAAAGGAAGGACTATGGTTTAATTAAACCATCATCCCATTGAGGGTTTAGATTTAAGATTGAAGAATAATAATGGCATCTGGGAATGAAGGTGTTTCAATAGGGTATCTATTCGTATTGTGGTCTTACTAGTACTATTTGGGACGATCACAAGCCTAGCTCTACTATGTGTAAGGTACTTACAGTTTTGCCTGAGTTTCCATTACCTGGCCAGGTATCTCTAGGATACTATCTTGTTTCTTACATGTACTACGAATACATTACTCCGTACTGTAAATCCCAACGATCCCTTAGGCCGTTATTTAAGTACCCGAACAGCTCAAAACACGTCGTCATCATCCATGGATGGTGTGGATCTTAAATAATGCCCGATATTCATGTATGTACTCCGTATTTATGTACCCATCGTAATAGAACAATTTACGGGGGATATAAGAGTATGTATGTATTTTGTCCTCCGTACATAATATGTCCAAAAGTACCAAAATTAGAATAAATCCAGTTTTATCAACGATCGCAAATATTTCGTCCAAAAGCAAAAAAAAAAAATACACAATACGGGAATCAGTGCTCATCAAAAGATCGACAAGGCGTTCTGGCCCTGGCCTGATCCGGAGGAACCAATTGGTCAAAAGTCCAGAAACGCAAGAGACTGTGGCTGGGTACCAGGTACTCCACTATACACTTGAGCACACGACCAAACCAAAGTCCCCAGTACTAATCTTGGAGTAGTACCCGTGGACTCTAGACACCAGTTAGTCAGACCTTAAGTCAGCCACTCTCCTGGAAACGTCAACCCCCCATGGCCTGTTCTATATATACACTTCAACTACTTTCAACATCCGACCTCTTTCATTTGCGTCCTGAACATCTCGCCATGAACAACGACTGAAACCTTCTTTTTCCCCCCCATTATTGGCTTGCGCTGTTTCTTCAGCATGTTCTCCGTATCAGTGTCCCCAATCTCGGTGGGCTCGAACGTCTTTTTCGCATTTGCCCTGTTCCTCATCTCCGCACTCGTGTTACTTCTCCTGCGACGATTTCTCACCCTCCGTGCCACCCCCGCTTATTTAAGTGTCCCTATATTCCTAGCTCTAGCTCTACCCGCTAGTGTGGTGCTCCTTGTCCCCATTGATTTGGCGTCAAGTTCGCGAGATGGATCTGGCCCCAAAGCAATCTGGCTACCGGAGCGAATGGTTCTGGTATGCTGGCGCATTGCCTACTGGCTAATCTTCGTGCTCACCTGGTAAGTGTCCCACGTTATTAAACTTGACCAAGGGCTGTCACTCATTCTTGTCTCTCTCAAAGGGCTATCCTCCCATTACTCGGTGAATACGTCGACTCGGGCTACCGTGAACCAAAAGGCCGGCTTATGTACTCTCTTCGATCGAACGCCAAATACCAATTAATTGTCCTGGGGTGTGCTCTGGTGGGGTTGATCTATGTCTCGATCTCAAACGGGTTTGAATTCACATCCATCAAAGGTCTCGTCATGGCATTGGCATATGTGTGGGGTCTTGTCCTTGCCATCTATCTCATGGGTCACGGTCTTGTTTCGATCCCGCGCAATCTGCTCCGAAACTCGAATGTCAGCGGTCGCCTACGCAGACTCCAAGCACATGCCCCCAAGGTGCACGATCGCCTAATGGACTCGGTCAACGAGTTGGCGAATCTCAATGGCCAGGTTACTCAGCTACAGCGCCGTAAGACAGGAACTGCGCGTGACTTCCAGGAGTGGATTGAAGAGCTTCGGGAGGGGCACGGCCAACCCGACGTGCGGGCCCCGATCCTCGAGTCCCCGGATACATCCGCCACGATACCTTCTGTCATCACGGAACGCTATCTGGCCGACCTCACACGGCGGCTTCAGCGTGCTCGACACATGAAGGCCCGATTTGTGGATGAGTGGGATCGTCTGGTCCAGTTATCAGCCGATCTCCAAGCCATCATCAATTCTGCAGCTTCAAAGAAGCTCGAATTTGCACCGGCCCCGCGTCGGTCATCCTGCATCCCTCGTGTGAGATTCCTCACCCCGTACATGCGGTACCAGCTGTACTCCAACGTCATTCCCTCGGTTAGGCTGGCATTTGGCGCGTTATTTGCAGTGGCATCAGCCTGCATTGTTTGGTCGGAAATGATCAAGTCTTTGGCGCCCCATCTCTCCGCCGTGAGTTTGACCGTGGTCCCCAACTGGAAAAACAGTCCAGTTGGCTTCGGTGGTCAGCTCACAGCCTCTGCCTGGCTGTTGTACATGTGTTCGGCGGCTCTCGTTGGTGTTAGTGATGTTAAGGTATGGGGAAACCGCGCGCTTGTCCGTCGTAACACATATGGCGAGAGTGCCTGCTGGTACGCTGGTCTCGTGGCTCGGCTAACGGTGCCAATTGCGTACAACTTTTTGACCTTCTTGCCAAAAGAGTTCCGGCGAACCACTACTTTCTACGAATTCCTTGGTAAACTCATCAACCTGACGCCCCTCGGGAAAGGGTTTGATTTCATCTTCCCGATCTTCATCCTCCTACCTATCTGCGCAACACTGTTCAACCTGTACGGACGTATTAAGAACATCTTTGGGTGCGGCCTTGCAGAGGATGATGACATCCATGATGTTGAAAACAACCCTGCCGGGTATGGCATGGGTGGCTGGCGCGAGGGTCGCGACCTCATTGAACGAGAATTGAATGGCTTCGGTTCTCTGGCTGTTTCCTCTCGTGGTAGTCGCTCAACGTGGGCGTCGGATCGTGAGGATGAAGGTTCCCCAGGCTCGTCCCGCCTGCGGGTCCCAGTTGCAGAGGGCTCTCAGCCTGCTCAGAGGACAGTGGCTGCGCCTACCATTGTAGAAGGCGAGAATGAGGAAGATGAGAACTTCTTCCAGTCCTTTGCGCATCGCGTCAAAAACACATTTGATACTACCAACACGCCTCGGTGGTTCCAGGGTGAGCCATTCCGACTTCCGCGCTGGATGTCGAGTGATGATAATACCACGGAAGAAGGTTCGGCGCTATTTGGAGGTCGAGCTGTGCCTGGTCGTCTGCGTCTAGGTTGAACACTTGCATTGCGGTGTTTGGGTCTCTTCAACTGCTGGACAGTGTAATATACCGTTTTGCTTGTACATATGTATCCCAATTATTTCATCTCAATTGCTTGATACGCAAGTTCCAATTAAACATTTTGATGAAACATGTAAAATGCAAAATAAAAGAAGGGCAAGGAAACACGGTAACAACGCGTAATATAGGAAGATATACGGAGTATCTTATGTACCTTTTGTATAGGCACACCATACAAACTGTATCTAATTTCAAAATTTATTGTTGACTGACAGTTATCGTTAACTGGGGGCACTAATTGGCACGGTCATTGTCTTGATATAAAGAAAAATGAGTTTCCAAGGTAATTAATCGCTATCATGTTATAACGCGTGCATTCATGGTTACCATGAAGTGATAAAGTAACGGGTCGCTGATATAACCATATATTTTGTCCTCCTCCATCAATAGCCTTTGTGGTCTAGTTGGTTATGACGTTGGTCTCATATCTTATCTTTATGACATTCCTGGTAACAGGATTGAAATCCGAAGGTCTCCAGTTCGATCCTGGACAAGGGCACATTTTTTTTCCCGTTTGGGAAGTCTCACAAGCGGATATATCCACTAGCAACTCGACGTACTTTTAACCCGAATACTCGGCCACGTTTGCGTTTTTATGTCTTTTTATATATTAATATATGGTAATGGTATACCTATTTAATAATTACGTAGTTATAATAGTATTTCTTCAGTGGCTATCATATATCATTATGAATGGTGTTTACTATATAACCGCAAATATATGATTTTATATATTAGCGGTTTAGCATAGATCTAAGGAAGCTCTCTAGTAAAACGTACATTTATTTGGGTGGTATTGCATATAGGGCGGACCCTCGCTTGCGAGGGTCTGTAATTTTGATATAAAATGTAAGGGCCGGCTAGGAAGAAAGCGGTACTAAAATTTCAGCCATAGAGTGTTAATTTATATATCTATTCCAAGGCAGCATATACAAATTTCATTATATCTATTTTTCTCAACCCCCTATATAGCTAGGAGGATTATATATCTATATAGACCATATAAGAGGGTTTCATTTAGCTCGGTACTGACATAGACAATATATAATTCCAGTAACAGGATACCTAAGTTTGATATACGGTGTTTATGTGGTGCTTTTCGGTATGTTTCTCACAATTATATATTGGTTAGTTATAATTAAACTTAGCGTTAAAACAATGTAACCATACTTATATCATCCATTGGCACTCTTATATATCCCCTAATAGGTTCGAGAA